CGGCGAGTTCGCCACCGGGGGGAGGGGGGGTGAATTTGGAAGGTCTCGTTTAGACATCTGAAATATTCAAGTTCATAATCTTTAGATACGATTGGACTCACATACATAATTATGATTCATGTGCACATTCTTTGAAATGAGTCGCGTGTAAAACCACCTTCTCTCGCATAGTCCATCGTGACGTGAAGGTTCGTCTTTTTGCAGCAAATTGGTCTCTCATTATCGGCAAGTGCGTCTTCAACAACGCGACAGCTGCCGGCAGAATAAAGCCCACGCGACTTCGCGACTTGGTCGGCCCTCGTGGTCGAGCGATCATCGATCGGTCGATTTTGTTTTTCCAAAGCAGAAGACGCCAAACGGCGTCTTCTTAAGCGCGTCTGCGGTCACTCTCGCCGATCGCGCGTTTCGGCGCTTTTTTATCCTCACTTTGCGGATAATATTCCATGGCGTTATGTATCTCATAGGATACGCGTCTCGTCAGCGCCATCGTTCGCGGCGGCGGCGGCGGCGGCGGCGGCGGCGGCAACAACACGACGCGGTATCGCATTCCAAACGAGACTCCAGACACTTCAACCGGCACTGTCGCGTGTCTCGGGACGCGTTATTTTTCTCTCATCCGTGTTTACATACGCTCCCGTGCAAACACCTTGCCGTATCGCTGCGCGGCGATTGGTATGCGGCTTGGGAAGGTCGACACTCGAGATCTGCGTACGCTGCAAACGATAAATATCCGCGACTCCGCGTTAGCCATTAGAGAGACAACTGCGCGCGAATCTCTTCCGATCGACGACGATAGCGGCTCGCGAGAAACAAAAGTCTCTCGTTTTTACCTCCTGACTTTTTCAATGTCGCACTCTTGTGCGCAGAAATACTGTTCTCCACGTGGTTCCATCGAAGGAGAAATAGCACGGCCGGCAGATTTGAAAAGAACTCGAAGCGTAGCCTGTAACTTTTTCTTTCTCTCCCTCCCCAAGAATATATCGATGAATGAGGCATACTTAACAATTTTACAGACGTTTACAGCGTTAGCCGGACAGTTGGTCAGATCTGGATGTCCGTGGAAATGGAATGGAAGTAATTTCATCTTCATCGCGGATTCCTCCTCATTGTCGGAATCAGGCTCATTAGCGCGGCAATCGACGGTTGTTTTCACTCTTATACTGAAAACCACGCATGCTCTAACCTCAGATGTATATTAATGTACATTTCTTAGGACGACAGAGAGAGAGAGAGAGAGAGAGAGAGAGAGAGAGAGAGAGAGAGAGAGAGAGAGAGAGAGAGAGAGAGAGAGAGAGAGAGAGAGATCACATACATATTGCGCAGCATGCAAAGGTCCACGTTCGTAGAATTTCGCGACTTGAAATCACCGCCGGCAAAATTGCTCCGCGGCGCGGAGGAGACGCGCGATAACCGACAATTCTCGGCGCGCGCGGTCGCCGGCACCGATTCATTGAAGTTTTTCTTATCCGAGCTGAAATCCTCGGTAACGAGAGCGGTTATGAAAATAAAAGGCCGTCGCGGACGTCTCTAAGAAGCAGACGTGAAATAATACGTCTCTCCCTCCCTCCCTCTCTCTCTCTCTCTCTCTCTCTCTCTCTCTCTCTCTCTCTCTCTCTTTCGGCGAGGAGAGTCGAGGAGAAACGAGGACACTTAAAGCGGCAAGCTGCAGTCAATTCCGTAATTGCTTCTTTATCATGATCTTCAGAGAACCGACAGAATTGCTTTATTACAGGGCTTTCAGTCTGCTTCCAATTTTCCGAACACGCGTCGCTCGCTCGTCGCTGCGTGCGTGGCCCACATTTAGTGACTGCGTTTATTGTATCGCGCGTGCGGACCGCGGACGTCGCGCAGGATGCACCTCGCGAGAGAGAGAGAGAGAGAGAGAGAGAGAGAGAGAGAGAGAGAGAGAGACCGATCGCGCTTTCTCTCTCTCTCTCTCTCTCTCTCTCTCTCTCTCTCTCTCTCTTGCTCTCTCCTCGGTCCTTCTCGCACATTCGCTTCTCTCAACACGGTTGACTCGTCTCTGGCGCGCGGCGGATGAAGCACGCGACGCGTTGCTCTGTTCGAGGAAGAGGTGGCTCTTGGGCGTCTTGGCAGGTGAATAAGAATTTTCACGAAGAAACGAGGAAGAAAGAGAGCGCTTCCCTGTTTCTAGCTGTGCTACGGTCGCGCTAAATTCGTGTCGCCGTCGAGTCGCGAACTAACGGTTTATCTCTACCTCGAGATACCTGAAACTTATCTCGCGGAATCTCCACGGTAACGATAATATAATGACAACGCTACTGGCGCACTGCTGGTGTCTGTCTGCTTCGCTGTCCGCTGCTCGCTCTGCTCTGCCGGCGTCGTTTTCGCGCTCCTCTGATCCGGGATTCCATAATTCAATGGGAATAAAACGCAGCCGCGCCGCGACGTGCAAGAGGCAGTCGTCGGGAGCCGCTAAGAGAGATTGCAGACGATCGCAGATAAACATGAAAATTTCGACGACGACTACGGTGTTGACGACGATGACGACGACGACGGCGACGGCGACGACGACGACGACGACGACGACGACGACGGTGGCGGCGGCGGCGGCGGCGGCGAGCGACGCGACAGGCGTCCTTGCTCCAACCACTCGCGCTACTACCGATGACGTAATCGTCGCGATACCCCGCAATCTTGGCGCCGCGGTAAACTCGTAATATCTATTTTTATCTGTGTGGTGGAAGCAAGGGGCCCCCCAGTTTCCCCTCCCCTCCGCCGTCGACTGCGTCCCGTCTCGCTCTTTCTCTCTCTCTCTCTCTCTTTCTCTCTTTCTCACGTCGCGTCGTTCTACCACACACGCGCCAGCTCGTCCACATGCGTATCGAGCCACACAGAAAGGCAAGCCAAACGAAAGCCAAGCCCCGCGAATGTCCGAGAGCCTCGAAAACCGAACGACGTTATTGCGATGGCGACGGCGACGGCGACGGCGGCGACGGCCGACGCGATAAGAACGTGCTTTCGCGTCGTGCTTTTCGAAGCCGCCTACGATGAAATTTCCGGTCCGGTCGAACGAGCTCTCTCGCCGTCTGATAAGCCCGGCGACCGCTTATCGCTCGAGTTTTACCGTTCATCGGCAAAAGAGAGAAAGAGAGGGAGAGAGAGAGAGAGAGAGAGAGAGAGAGCGGCGACGTGGAGGCGCGCGCGTCTTCTTCGACGAGCGCGCACGAGAGCAGGTGACGCGCGAAGCAGTTTACTCTCGGGAGAGCATTTGTCGTTTTTGCGACTGGAGAGATCGGATGCGATATGAGAGAGCAGAACCGCGCGCGCGCGGGGAGCGGGGTTTATGAACGGGGCGCTTAATTGATTCGGACATTTACGTAAGCGATCTTTGAATAATATCCATGTCTTGGTTGGCTTAGATCGCACGACGATTTGCAAAACGGCAATAAATATATATGCAAAGCGCCTGGCGCTACGTTTATCGCGCTAAGCGCTGCGGCGCGATCGTGATAAGTTAACATTAATATTAATTCGCATTCATTTTGCGTCTCGGCGTTCTTCAGATGGAACGCTGCCTCGCGCGCTCGTGTGCACCTTTCGCGACTTATCTCGTTCCCACACATCCCCCGCTCCCTCCTCCCCTCCTCCCTCCTCCTCCATTTGCACGGTCAACTCGTCCTGTTTGAAATCCCTGGCGCCAGCGTGACGGCCGGACGGCGAAAAGCGTAGGACTTCGCGCTGGGACAGCAGTCCTTTGTGTGCGCCGCCCCTCGCGCATGGACGTCTTTACCGGGAAAGACCTATCGTTAACAAAAGATCTCCGTCGTTTTCCGTCGAAAAGACCTGACATGGGACCGAGGATCTCTGCAAGACAATGATTATATATTCCCTTTTCCGAGCAATTTTTCACGTAACGTGCATGAGGAACCGTGGAGACGCAGATTGCAGTTTCCCGCTGACGCGTCTCAGCGAGCGTTTCCCTGCTGTTCTCGCACACTACTTCACTCCAGTTTACTCACTACTTCGGTTATCGTTTGAGTTACGCGCTCCGAAATGAAGATAACAGGAACGTTCAACAGAGCTCGGGCGTATTTTTTGCTTCCGTAATCTCGTCTTTATCTCTCCATCCGACATGTATTTCGCGTATCTATATTTTGGGAGGGAATCTTTTTCTTCCTACCACATTCTGACGCGATACTTCGCACCACGTGATTTCTCAATTTGGCACAAGGACTCGGAGACACTTGTACGCGTGAAGAACAGCTCAGTTTGCGTGCTTTCCCTTCTCCGAGCCGACCAGGCGGACATTCGGGCGTGAGAACCGAGAGAGACTTCTGCGAGAGGTTTCCGTCGTTCAGTCATCCCGATTGTTTCCGGTTCTTTCTACCAATCGAATCTTAGTGTCGCCGGACCTTAGTTCAGTCGCGAGTGTTCGCGCTCGCGGTAACAAAGAGATCGCGCGAGCGATCAGGATGCTCACGATGACCCGCGAGAATCCGCGGTTCGCTGGGAGCGCCGATGACACAGAGAGAGAGAGAGAGAGAGAGAGAGAGAGAGGGAGGCGAACGTCGTAACGTGATCGTAACATTTCGCGCGACTCTCACCAGCGCAATTCGTCATTGGTGAATAACCGCGCGGCAAGAGGAAAGTCGTGGTGACGAGAAACGGTGGCTCTGTTGCTGAAAAAGTTCGGCCGAACAGTCGGCTGTTAAAATTCTGCTGTTAAAATTAACATTCACTTGAGGTAACTCTGAGCAGTCGCGGCTGAATCAGGTCGCATTTTTGGCCGGCTTGGTTCGAACAAAATTCCGACGGAGCGTTAGTTCGGTTCAAGCTCAGTGAAAAGCTCCTGCTGAAATCCTTCCGTCCTGACCGACCGAATTTTCGTCTGGTCTCCAGGCGACAGAAAATTCAGTCGCACCAACGGACTTGTCTCTTCGACGCGGCGCGGCGCGGCGCGCGACACACCGAAAACGCTGTGACTTACACGCCGTTTACACGCTCTAATGAATGTTTCCCTTGTGTGTTTCCTGCAGGTGAGACGGGGCAGAGAGAATGGTGCACCTTGGCGTACTGGGAGCTGGGCGGCCGAGTGGGTCGTCTGTATCCCGTGGAGCCTTCGACGGTGAACGTCTTCGACTCTCTCCACGACGGCGACGGCCTCTGCCTGGCGACACTAGCCGAGAACCACATTGCACCGCCCGCGGTCCAACGTACGCGTAGCAAAATCGGTCTCGGTAAGATCTCGTCGCTGGAGAAGCCGGCCCGAGCGGCGGGCCGCTCCGCTTCGATTCGCTCGTTGCGTTGAGTCGTTATTTATCGGGGAATTTCTCGGTCCGCTGAATTTTCAGACTTTGCTTTATTATATTTAATTTTTAATCTTACATCTTTCACGTTGTTCCATATTTTATATATATATATATATATCTTTTTATTTATAAATTTGAACCTAATTTCCTCCGTCACCGAAGGAAACGAACTTGCAACGGCCAACGTTGCTCCCCAATCCTGAAGAGAGCGTAACAAGAGCGACGCGATATTATACGCGGTTCGCGAAGGAATGTTGCGTCAGACGAGCGCGCGCGTACACTCACCTTCGCAGCCTCTCCGGATATTGAGTAATCACCCTTACGTCGCTTTCGTCGCAGGGCTAACGCTCAGCCAGGAGGCGGACGGTGTATGGGCGTACAACAGGTCGGAGAGCCCGATCTTCGTCAACTCGCCCACCCTGGACGACCCGGAGTCCAGGACGCTGCTGGTCTACCGAGTGCCGCCAGGTTTCTGCCTCAACATCTTCGACCGCGCCAAGATCCTGCAGCTTCCATACGGCAGCGGCGGTGGTGGCGGCGGCGCGGGGGCGGGCGGCTTCGCCTCCGGCCCCGTCGACATTAACTCCGTCCGCATCAGCTTCGCCAAGGGCTGGGGACCCAAGTACTCGCGGCAGGAGGTCACCTCCTGCCCGTGCTGGCTCGAGGTGCACCTGGCGCCGTGCAGGTGATCGTCCCCATTGCGACCGGCCGCAAGGATATCGAGTCTCGTCCAGTCGCGTCTCTTCCTCCTCCTCGTCATCATCATCATTGTCATCGTCGTCATCGTCATCGTCATCGTTGTCGTCGTCGTCGTCGTCGGCGGCGGCGACGTTGTCGTGGTCGTTCTTGAGGAGGACTTGAACGGTGATATAATGATGCGGCGGCGACCGTGGCCTTTAGCTCCGTCCTAGCAAGAGCGGTGTTTAAACGCGTGCTGGGGGCACGGATCTCGAAGAGTAAGATCGGTGCCTCCCCTTTCCCCCCGAACCCAGCAGTCTTACCAAAGTACACGCCGTCTTATACGTCTAGGAACAACGTCGCGTTCCGTTTCGTCGGAAACGAGAGGTAGATAGGGACATAGACAGAGAGCGAGAGAGAGGAGAGAGAAAGAAAGATAAAAAGATAGAAACGGAGATCGTTCGCGAGCGTGTTCATCGAGCGCATACGAACGGAGAGGGGCTCACATTGACGAGTGGTACCTTCTGGGATTTTCAGGAAGCTAACAACGCGCGCTAATACGCGCACGCATTGACGCTGTTCTCTTCTTTTTATTTTTTAATTCGTTTTTTCTTTTTATTTTTTTTTTTCATTTTTTTTCCTTTTGTTCGCTATGCGCGATCGGTCGTCGATCGCCAAGATGTCGTGTTGTCGATGCTACTCTCGGGATTCGTACAAAGAATTTCCGACAGCGAGGAAGCGGAGAGAGTGTCGGGCTTCCGGTAGGTCTAGTCATTTGCGTTTAGTCTTGCGCCAGCTCGCGAATTCGCGCGGTGGAGCCTGAATCCACACAGCATGGCAGGGAAAATTCTTAGTCTTATCGAAGCATGAAACAAAGAGTAACGTCGACGAAGCAAAGAGAGAAAGATAAGCGGATTGTGCATCTCACCGATCGTTCCTCGGGAAGAATTTTCGGATGATCGAAGAGAACGAACGAGCGAGGCGCAGCCTCCTATCGTTCCGTCAGTCATACGGGAAGGTTCAGAGGAACAGTGGACGAGTCACATCGGCATTTAGTAGTCGGAAATTCGGAGGATTGCTCACAGGTAATTGACGATTATAATTGCGTAACGTGAACATTATCATGAACTCTTTTACGAGACATCTGTTTTCGAGGTAATTTTGGACGAGGCTCGCCCTAAAATTATCCCGAGTTTTTTTCGCGTACTCATTTCCGTAGAACTTGTATTACTGGTGAGAAAGAGAGAGAGAGAGAGAGAGAGAGAGAAAGAGCGATTATTTTTACAGAGTTCACATTAATTGAAGAAGTAAAACTCGCAAGGGTGGTCGTGAATTCTCGGCTTTCTATAATCCAGTGCCGCGAAGTCTTTCTTGTGCGACGGACTTTTACAGACTGGAAAATTCGGTCATCATTATATCGATGTAAAAGTGCAAAAAAAAAAAAGAAAAAGAAAGTATCGACGGAGCAAGAGGAATATTCTTTTTTTTTTTCTTTTCTTTTAAGGAATACGATGATGAGCGATGGAAGACGCATTTTGATTTACTACGCCCGCGTAAGATCAGCTATATAGAAAAAAAATTTTTGCATTAGGAGCCGCTCCAGTAGCATAAGTTCTATCTCGGTCTTACGTCACGAGACGCGACAGTACTGAATCGTAGTAGTCTCACGATTTTGATCAGCGCCGCAGAAGCGAAATGTGCCACGAGTCCTGGGGTTGTTATCTCCGCTCGTCGTTCGGTGCTGTACATACGTAGGATATATGTACATACACTGTGCCTTCCCAGCTTCCCTCCGTGGTGCAACGTACTCGGGTAAACGTGCGCCACGTGCCAAGCTCGTTTCGCACGAAAAAATGCCTCCGGAGCTTTGTACTACAGTAATATACGATACTGTGATAAGAGTCTGACGCAGGTCTTTTTTTCTTCCTTTTTTTTTACGGAAAACGCGTTGCGAAGCAAGCAAGACGACAGAGAGAGAGAGAGAGAGAGAGAGAGAGAGAGAGAGAGAGAGAGAGAGAGAGAGAAGAAAGAAGAAAGAAGAAAGAAACAACATGAGATATGTTCGCGCGTGTACGTAGAATTCGGAGAAAGGAAAGCGCATGATATTCGACGGTGTAAAAATTCCGTGCGCTGGAAATGCCAAAGGCGAAACGTGTCCCTTTATCTCGCAGAGAGATCGCTCATTAGTCGGAAAGTGTGGTGAAAAGTGAAGAAAAAAAAATTGTTCTTGTTTCTCTTGCTTTTCTTCTCCTTGGAATGTCGCGCTATGTGTATGTTCCACATGTATTTACGCTTTTGGATTTTTTGGACGCGCGGAAATTTGCCGCGTGTACGATTGTACACGAATCACACACACGTACACGTGCGAATGTCGTCTCCTCCTCATCCTTTTTTTTTTTCTTTTTTTACATACTCTGTAGGTATAGATTTGACTTGAAAGATACGGAAGGAGCGTACACAGTGTTCAGAACATTTTAAGTACATACGATGTAATATGTACCAGTCATACGTATTCATTCACGCATACATATACATACAGGGTGTCCCACGGGTAGTTGCTGATACTAAACAATTGGTTCTGCCTTCCATGACTTTAAAGCGGCTCTTAAAGTTAATGGTCGCCGCCTGAGGGTCCGCAGTTTTATTCTGGTTATGATAGAAGCAAGTCTGTGCGCGTCAAAATGAGTAATCTGTCGACGGAAGAAAATATCTCATCGAGTGCTTCTTTTCTGAGAGGACAAATATATAGTAGTGCATAAAATTAGCGAGCGAAAACACATTATAGATACATGCATAAAATTATCGATAATTCTGATCAATACAACATAAAAAATTATTTTAATGCAAATTTATCGTCAAGAAATGGAGTGACGTAACGCCTGAATTTAAATAACTAATGAATCCTGGCCTTTCAGTTGATTTTCGCTCGTAATTTTATGTATTTCGTATTTAGTACGGAATCCTCTATAAGCATTTTTCCTTTAGAAAAGAAACGCTCGATAAGATAGACCTTTTCTTTTCGCCGTCAGGTTACTCATTTTGACGCGCATAGACCTGCTTCTACCACAACTGCGGATAAAACTGCGGACCCTCAGGAGTCGGTCGTTAAGAGGCCCGTTCTAAAGTCATAGAGAACCAGAAAATCGTTTAGTTTCAGCAACTTCCCGTGGGATACCCTGCAGTATATACAATCGACTGATTGACCCGTAGGTTTTTCAACCATTAGTTTACTCCCGTACAACCGCTTTTATCGTGGTAAAAGTGGCGGTTACTTTGTAATAACGATGGAACGGATGATTGCGCTACGATTTTACGAGAAGGTCGCGAACAATATATATTGTGATGCGTATACGCCGCTTTGAGAATGTCATATATTAATATGTATACAAAATGAGACGTATACAAAATGTTCATAGGTAGCTAGTTGTATCTACTGTGAGTGAAAGAAAGCAAGAGCGAGAGAGAAAGTATGAAAGAGCGTGCGGAAGAGAGAGAGAGAGCGAGAGAGAGAGAGAGAGAGAAAACGAGAGTCGGATTAGATCATCGGCGAAAATAATGATAACGACAGTGAGGAATTCCGCCGACAGATTCTTCACTCTGAACGACTCCGTTTTTGCTTTTGCTCGTAGTCCCTTTTTCACCGTGCCCCCGTACACGTTGTTGTGGAGGTCGAGGGGGAGAGAAAGAGAGAGAGATAAAGAGAAAAAGAGATCCATCCGCCCCAATTAAGGGCCGGCAGTCTACATATTGCTCCGCTTTTCGTTTCTCTCGAGCTGATCGAGAATGTAAAATATTACTTGTAATGACATACGTGACGCGTCAAATGCACGGAACAGAAGACGTCGAAGTTCCGAAGCGTCGCGCAATTCCGTCGTAAATGTTCAAAGTCCCACGAGTTAATTTTGACGAGCAAGCTCGACGAAAGATTCCTCCGAACGAGAAAGGATAAAATACGAACGGTCTTTTTCTTTTTGCTGAATTTCGACGGAAACGAAGACGAGAGAGAGAGCGCCCTCTTCTTCCGACTCGTCCTCTTTTCTTTCTCGTCTCAGCGATCCGCCTTTCATTCCGTCTTTTCATTCATTCTCGAGTTTTACGCGTCGATCGCGCTCGCGTTAACCAACGGAGTCGCGGGACGAGCTGATAATCTTTTCTATTTCGCCGTTCATTTTTCAACTCTCGGGTCACACTTGCCCGCGATAAACATCTCAACGCAAAAAATCCAGATCCGAAGTTGCGCGCTTCGAATTAACGTTCCGCGCGCCCCTCGGTTATCTCACAATAAAGAACACATTTATCACGCCGGCAAAATATATGTGACGACGACTGTCTGTACGACGCGCAAGCCAAGCAAGACTGTGAGCCTCTTTCCCGACACGAAGTATAATTTCATTTCCTCACGTCCTCCCGGCCGTTTCGGGGATCTGTCCCGCGAGCGCGTGACGATTACTTTCGCCAATAAAGCAAGCCGGCAACTCGTTCGACGAGTTGCCGTTTCTCTCGGGCGACGCGACGCGACGCGACGTGCCATTACCCAGTAAGTAATAATCGGCCGTAATAACGCTAACGTTAACGACCGAACGACAATTAGAGCCGTTTTCTAACGTCACTCTTTGAGGATCGACCGACCACTCCACGTGTTTGTGGGCTAGGTTTAATCTTTAAACCATAGACATGCAATACGAAAGTTCCTCGTTAGCGAGATTAGGTGCCTTCGAGTCGAATCTCAATTCATATAAATAATCGAAAGCCGTGTCCGACGGACATCTTGTATAGATGTAGAGTCATCGCACAAATGACAAATTGTTTCGCTTGAATTCTCTGTAGCGCTCGGGTCGAATCTGGTTCAACTCGAGAGGGAAGGGGGAGAGAGAGAGAGAGAGAAAAGAAAAACAGAAACACGCGATGGATGAAAGAGAGAGAGAGAGAGAGAGAGAGAAGTTTTCGTCAGTTTGGAAACATTCAGGAGCGTGCGTTTTCTTTTCCTTTTCTTTTTCTCTGCCAAATTGACGGGCAAGAAACGCGCAAAGGAACGAATGAAGGCAGCTAATTTCCCTATAAGGACCCTACGCGTCTGTGAAACATAGTGCCTTTATAGCCGTTCACTGTTACATTAGACTAGTGTTTTTAGAGAGCGAGATACGACTAGCGGTGTTATCACGCATGTCGGTAAACTATTGTTGTTGATAAGTAACCTCTAAGCGCTTCACATCGGCATCCCCAACGAGTACGCATTATTGCTCGCCCTTGAAACGAGAGAGAGAGAGAGAGAGAGAGAGAGAGAGAGAGAGAGGAGGGGGAGAGAAGAAAGAAGAAAACCTCGAAACCCCTCCGCTCGTACGTGTCTTTCCTCTTTCCCGACATCGGACTCGTGTGTTTGATATCCTCTCTTTTTCTTTCTCTTCTTTTTCACTTTTGTCGTGCGATTTGGAAAATCGCTGATCTACACACCGGATAGACTGAACTTTGATAAAGAACAAAGAAAAAAGTAAAAAAGAAAAGAATAAGGGAAGAAAAAAATAACACTTTCGAGACGTATTTAGACGATATATACATAGTCGTAAATTCCCGCGATTCCTGCCGTGTCCTGCGTCCTTCCGTCGCGGGCACACTTTACGCTCGTTTAGGATGTAATGAATAAACAACTAGTGCCTTACACACCACAGATATTTCGCTTTTTGGATGTTCAAATAGTCTGAGATAATAGAGAAGGAAGGAAGAGAGAGAGAGAGAGAGAGAGAGAGAGAGAGAGAGAGAGAGAGAGAGAGAGAGAGAGAGAGAGAGAGAGAGATGCGCTCTAACACGGTTCAGATGACTATATGCGGGCGGTTTCTCTTATGCCGATCGCAAACGCGCGCACTCCCAAGTCGTGATCGCGCGGGATTGATAAAGAAAAGAAGCAGAAGAAAAAACGTTGTTCTTGGCGGTCGGAGAGGACTTGTCGATGATGACGACGACGACGATTTCCTCTAGCACATCGTCCAACGTCGCGATCGTGCCGCCGGAAGTCATTGTCGCGATCTCGTGGACGAATTTCGAGAAGCCGTCCGAGAAGCAACGTCCTTGCAGTCTTGTATCCTTTTCTAGTCACTTGCACCGGATTACGAAGACGCTCCGCGATAATCACTGATGGCACGCTTTGCGCCGCTCGTCTCGCGGCCGATACTTCGCGATAGTGTCCGCTGGTGCACGGAGTGATGATAACAATATCGCCGAAAAATGCAGATTTGAATGCTGAACATGAATTTAAATAGGAGCGTCGGACGATGAGGCGTTTCGCGCTTTTCTTCTTCCTCCTTTCCTTTTTTTTTTTTTTGTTTTCTACTGTAACGGCGGTTTCGAAATTCGTCGACGTGGTGAAACGACGATGCGTATTGTCGCTGGGGGACGGTCGTCTGCATGATTTCCGACTCGCGCGCGGAGCGACAACGAGAGCGGCTCGGAGACGTAGTCTCAGCTTTTTCACATGCTCACCGATGCTCACATGGATCGAGCAGCCTACGATCGGCCGCCGCGATTTCCCTCATTTTCGAATCACGCGCAATAAAATACGCGGACTAAGCACATTCATGCATGTACGATACATGTGTGCACGCGTCTTATAAATATATATATATATGTGTGTATGTATGTATATATGAGACGCGTGGAGAGAGAGTGTCGAGGTGCGAAGGGAAAGCAACGACACTAGACGAAGAACCGAGGAGAAACGAAAAACGACTACGGCTATATGTATATTGTATATAAAATAAGGTGTATACGTGCGCGTGCGCGCATACGCATATATATTATACATATAACTATGTATATAAATATATATATATATATATATATATATATTATATATATTACATATTTTACGTCGTCGTCGGCGATGATGATGATGATGATAATAATAATAATAATAATAACGAATGATAGTAACTAATAATAATAATAATATTAATATTAATAATAATAATAATAATGATAATAAAAAGCAGATATCGAGATATAAGTGCGATAGCGTAACGAGAAATAACGATATTATTAGGTACCTCCCGAGAACTCATATTATTTTCAATATCATTGTATTCAATTCCGAACGAAGTAACAGGCGCTTTAAGTGACGACCGTGTATCGAAGATCAATGAAATCCTCTCCACTCATTTTTACGAGAAGAAAAAAACAAATATATGAAATTGCAAATTTGTACCCCGTGGCGTTGTCAATGATCGACCCTCGTGCCTCGCTTCGCACTCTGCTTTCTCCTTTAATACGCATCCTCGTAAGAGAAAGAATACCATACTTCACCCCGTATACATAATTACTCCAGACGTGTCTCGGTAAACAGCTCGATGAATGCGACACAGAACTGCAGAACAAAGAGCATTTATCTCAGTCGAGTATATATTTCTGAGAGAAACAATCAAGGCGAGCGTGCTTTTTTAACAAGTTATCTGACAAGATCCGCCGACGACGCGATAATACTTGATTCTCGCTTTCTGGATGTGGCGTGTGTGATTTTTGCGAGGAGGGCGAGGATACCGGCGAGAGATGAAAGCGCGAGAGAGAGAGAGAGAGAGAGAGAGAGAGAGAGAGAGAGAGAGAGAGAGAAGGACGGAGAACACATGCCGTTTCAACGCACGCTTTACGCGGTAGAGATACGCGGTAAACGTCGGGCGATTAAATCCTGAAGACTCCTGCGGAGAGCGTGCTCTCATCAGGACGCACGACGGTTAGTGCGTCTCGCTTAGGAGACGGCAGCGCGAATGTTTTCCGCTCGCCGAGATGATTAACGGCGACGCGGCTCACTACGCATCGGCCGCCGTTTCGCGGCAGCGTTTTCCCGGATCGTTATCGCATGCATCCCTTCCTTCTGCGTTTTACTGCGAGAGAGCGTAACAATCAACGCGTCTACTCCGTATTGTCATACGTTTTATTTGTAACACCTGCGTGAGGACGGCGAAGAGACCGGAGACGGGTCGCGTGTCTCCCGTCTTTCGTCGTCGCGTGCGACCAAACGGTCCTCCGTGCGCGGTAACGCGTTACAAATTAATAAATATCCACTCGAGTGAGTCGTATTTACAAGGGCGAGTGCGATTCGATCGATAAAAGCGAGCTGTCGTTCGTATGCTCGGCCTAAAAAAGAAGACGGTGCGAAGCGTATCACTCGTTCAGTGAAATCGCCGTGTCGCCGACGAAGGTCGCTCTTAATGATCGATTCGCCGGTTGCGGACATCGTATCGACGAATACGCACGTTTCGCTCGCAAAGCGAAACCTGATGGATTTGTGGAGCGAACTTTGACTGGCCAAATTCCTATCAGTGATTTAAACGTCGATACGACGAGTCGCTCGACTGCATCGTCGGAGCTTCGTGAAATAAAAAACCGGTTGGTCGATGTTTACAGCTATTATTTACAGATCGAGAAATATTGTCGCAAAAATCGCATGTGAAAGAATGATACGAAGTGTTTCGGCTGACACTTCGAGTCTCTTGAAGTCTCTGTCTCGGCATGTCGGCCCTCACTTCCTTTTCTTGCTCGGTATCAGGAGGGACAATAGTCCGCCAACTGAAAGAAAGTGATTATTTATCATCACGTCTCTGCATGTGAGATTCAAATTTTACTTAAATGTCAGATTGCACGCTCGGAAAGCTCTTGTCGCGTATTTAAGAATTTAGATCCTCCAGGAAGAAATTTCCCAGAAAGTGACAAGATTAGAGACGTGCGCGACTGCACCATCAGTCTCGTCCCAGACCCGACGACTGGGATTCCCGTACTTACAAGTGATGACACTAGCCAACATGAATATCGGCACCTCGCAGATGAGATCCAGCAGCATGCCGATCATGAGGTTGCTCATTATCCCGCTGGCCCTCCCTAAGCATATCATTATGGATACCGTGGCGGCGCGTATATGTGTAGGGAAGATGTTGACCGCCACACCGGCCATCATGAAGTTCGACATGGTCAACATCAGTGAGAAGACGCACGCCATCATGAGGACTTGTTGCGAGGACTTCACGAAGTAGACGCCGAAGCTGGCTGCGCCGGCCAGCAACATGCTGATTGCTGCGGAGATTAAATCGTCGTTCTATTAACACTCTTGTTAATAAGATGAATCAACAAGTAAATAGAAAAAGAAAGAGAGAGTATAGAGAAAATATCGTCATAAATGCTATTGTACTGTTTTTCTATCACTCTGATGTCCAACTCAAAGCCAATTGGAAATAATATAAAGCAAATAACACGTGCATAGCACGCGCAAAAAAATTCATAAATACATAAAAGCAAACGGACCCGAATAACTCACAAGATAAGTCATTGATGATTAAAATCAACGGTTTAAACTATACCATTTTGCGAATACTGCGGCAAGAAGCGCATTACCGTAAATCGGCAACGGCACTTACTCGGTATCGTTCTGTGGTTGACTCGGTTCGTCAGGCACCCGGAGATAATGTTCGCCGGTAAGGAAACGGCATTGATAGTCAATGAGTTGATGAAGACTCGTTCGTTTATATTCCGTTTGCACTCCGAGACGACTCCGTCCAACGAGAGGAATGGCTCATCCACAACGGTGACATTCAACGACTGCTGCATGTTGCGAGTCAACTCGCAGACGGACACTGATGCATTTGGATGCGACTGTTGGTAGTTTTCGAAGCGATTGAACAGTTCTGGCATCCAAAGACCGAAACCGTAGGACCTGACGGAGGAAACAGATTCGGTTACCCTCGTGTATAACGTTGAGAATACAAAGTAGCGTCCCTCTCACCGACGATCGTGTTCTCATTCGTTGTCCTAAAAGTCGACTTCCATGTTTACACTGTTTATAAAAGATGATTTACGATTTAGGAACAAGACACCTGTCACCTGAGGACTTTCGAGAGACGCTAAATTGTCCAAGAAAGTATTCTTTTCATGAAGCCCGAGAAGGACTCACCCGAACATATTCGAGGCGTAGATCGTCCACAGGATGATGGCGTACTTCAAGTGCGGCGGTGACACAATGGTGCGCAGTTGCCACCAGATATTCTTCAGCAGGCTCGTCAAAATGTGCATCGAGGACGACGACGTCTCGTCTTTCTTCACTTCCAACGTGACGCAGGAGAGTAATTGCTTTATCTGGCGAATACACGTGTCCCGTGTCAATCGCAACGAGGGAAATCGCACGTGATAATAACCGGACGAACAAGAGAGAAGTCACGTCGAGAGAAATCCGCGTTACGTCGTTCGCGCTACTTTTCTCGGGCCCTCGCGAGCGCGACTCGTAAGGAAGCAAGGATAGAGTCACTCACCGGATACTCGCTCTCGTCACGGCCGGTGTTGACCGCGTAGATCTTCCGGAGGATCGCCAGAGCCTCGTCGGTCCTGCCCTGCGACACCAGGAACTTCGGAGTTTCAGGATACTTGACGAGGACTGTTACAGCTATGATGAAAGTCGGCACTCCGATGAAGCCGAGGAGCATTCTCCAGGAGTTGTAGTGAATGCCGTGGAACTCGTAGTTTATCGGCAGCGGTATGAAGGTCCACGCTAGACCTGGATTGATCAACGGTCGTGGGTTCATTCATGTCTCCTCGCGTCCGGTAATTATGTTCGGTAATTCAACCGATACGATTAAACGACACGCTTTTAAAACGTTCAGAGGTTCCAATTTCTGAAAGTGACCAAAGGCGGAAACACTTGCCTGGTAATATCAGCCATGAGATCAGAAAGAAGAAGCCCAGGAAGCAGATGCTCTTTGTTTGGTTCTTGTACTCGTAGAACTCGCCGTGATACGTGTATATCAGCGAACCAGGCGCTCCTATCCTGGAATAGAAAGGGCAACGATTCCAGTCAAGATCTAAGATCGGGTCAGTGACGTGCTCGTTGTTGTCGACTGCCGCTTACATGAATCCGCATATCACCCGGAATATGAGGAATAGGTTGTAACTCGGCAAGAAGCTCGTGATTATCGTTAGCACACTGTCGGTGAAGAGAGTCAGCAGGATAATGTTCTTTCGCCCGTAAACGCCTGCGAAGATTCCCCAGAAAAGAGCGCTGAACGTGCATCCTGCGGAAGAACGCGAACATAACACGTTAGTTACACGTGGACTCGTTCGCCATGTCTATATTCCGAGAGAGGAAAGACGGATCTACCTTACTCTAGATCTTGAAAGGGGAATGTTTTGCAGCAAAATTGGTGAGAATCAAATTTCAATGAAATTAAATTCAATGAAATTATATTACAAGAGGGATCGGACGAGTGTCTGCGATGACGCGCGGAAGCTCGCATGGGTCTCACCTCCGAGAAACGCGACGTTCAGGAACCCCTTCTGCTCAGAACCGATGTTGAAGTCGCACTCGGCCGACGGCAGGATGTACGCATTCACCGCGTATTGCATGCCGACGCAAATGAACAGTAAGCCGCACACCAGCAGAAACACGTACTGATATCTCCCGGTTCCTGCGGCCAATCATGAGCTACGGTAACTCGTCGAGATCGTTCTCGTTTGTACCATATTGTTGCACGGGTCGCGATTAACGATCTACTCGTAATTAATTACTGTCGTACTGTATAATCGTATGTTATCTTCCAAATTTAAGGCATAATTTTTGCAGCCTGTAAATCGAGACAAAGTGGAGAAGAAGAAACAAAACGCTTCAATTACATGAACTCGTGATTTTTCATGTAATTATCTAATTAGACGATTAATCCAAGAGACGGAATTCCGCCTTATGTGCTGACATCTAAGAATGAATAGCGCAACGAGAACTCACCGCATATCTCCAAGGCTGTTTCGATGTCGGTTCCTTCTTTGCTTCGGTCTTTGGGAGTATCTAAAAAAGGATAGAGAGGAAAGTAACGACAAATTTTCCTTCGAGCTCCACTAAAAGGGGGAATAAACGGCTTCTGGTAATAATGTTCGCTCTAACAACACCGTGACTTACGAAGAATGATCGCAAAATGTCATTTGCAATTCAGTCCGCTTAAAACCTGAGATATCTGTCATTTGCGTCACATTGGATAGTCGGTTATATCACGCGCGTGTAAAATTTATACAAGGTGGACCACTAACAATCGATATTTTGGGTATTTGGAAAAAATCATATAAATTAAAAGAAAAATTCTGAGACGAAACCAGTGCGGTAGGTAAAAGATCGTCCTACGATTTTTCCTCCTCATCTCTGCGTAGGTGAAATTCTTCTCAGCTGCCGTAATTCCCGAGATATTCGAGATGTCGATAGTTTTCAGACTGTCTTATATAAACGGTATAAACGAATAAATTATATAAATGGAAGAAATGCTCGATTTTTTAAGTAAGCGCGTAGGATATCCGTTCGAGCCGTCGTCTCTTTCATAACTTCGCGAGTTCGTGTCGATTAAGCGTTGACGATTGTTCACGTGGAAGTTTCTTTTTTTCTTTTTTTTTAAGTAAATTTGCACCGCGGAATGATACGTGTGTACGTGTCGCTCTTGTTTCGCAATGTTCTGTGACCTACTTAATTTTGGTCCATCTGACAACTCGTCCGAAAACCGAAAAAAAAAAGATAATAAAGTCGTATTCGCGAGTCGACTTCCCGAGAAATATATCAGTGACTCGGTGAATCTTCATCTTTTTCTTCTTGATGCGAGCCGTAATTAAGCAAATAGACGTCGACAGAGAACCGCCAGATTACAGAGGCGAATGCACTTATTGCACCGTTCATTAATCGAAGCCAGTGTCCGTCGATAAGGATTTTTACCGCGCGCGTCATTAGCCTGGTGATTTTGCTCCAGGACGTTTACGCGCCGAAACTAGATCTCGTTTTGCCGCAACGTTGCACACGAGCTTGATGTTACATCAAGCCGAACTTCTAGCCGTTTTATCGTTTTGAGTTAAAACCTCCCCCACTTTATATTCCTACTCTTCGATCGTCACGCTAATTATCGGCATGTCACATTTAGCGTAATCGCATTGTAGCGGGAAGTTTAGTATAATGATAATTTAATGAGTTGAACGAGATTTTATCGAAATCTTAACGAGGGTATCGACTGTTTTCCCGAATCATTTTCAAGGAGTCCTCGGAGAAGATTGAAGCTTGGTTCGAGCTGATTGCGGCCAAGAAGCGAAACACGTAATTATATCGCACCTTCGCAGGTATCTCCATGTAAGTATTAATGTAACTTCTAGCGAAACATCTTGATAAATATTTCTCCTAATCAATAATATTTCTTGCTCAATAAGAACGTGCCCCCAATTGAGAATATTTTCTCTCGTTAGAACAACAAGATGCAGTTGGCGGAGATGGCTGCCCATCTTTTCTTTTCGCTGTATTATTTGCTTATCGGCGAGATCGTCGCAGCGTGTCGCTCTTGCAGCGCGCAGCCAGTCTTGATAATCGATGCAGCGATATCGCCGATCGACGAGTTGAATAAACGCGGCAATAAACGCGCTCAGTGAAACATTAACGAGTCGTATGAATCGTGGTAGGAGGCTGTGCCGCGTGTGGTTACTTAAATATTTTAAGTTTGCTCGGCAGAGTCTCGCGTGTGCCGACGATGGAATTTTTGTGTGCGAATTTTTCATCGATAATTAGCCAGCGGCAACAGCCATGCGAATTGATCGGAACACATCGTTTCGACATTCTCGATCCTTTATCTCGCTCCTCGATTAGTTCTCGATGTACGAACCCTGCATCGCGAATATGAGAGCGTTCTTTCGGGTTCAAGTCTCGAAGAGTCTCACTCGGGGGTCGTTTGCGTTTCATTAACCTCATTCTGCCGGCCAAAGCGAAATCAAGTGCTTCACGTTGCATCGGTTGAAGGGAGGCTATTTGCCGACTGTTTGCCTCAAACGTTGCGGCAAAACGTCCAAACAATTGTCGTTGATGTGAAAAACAAGTCGTAAGACGAGGCTCATCGTAGGTCTCGCGGATAAACGGTAACGAATCGACCATTCTTCGAGTTGCGCGCAACATGCGTGAGAGAAGGTCTGCAAAGTGGCCAATTAAAGGATAGTTAGACAGATATGATCGCGCTGTGTCACTTTAGCGGGCTCAATGACGCATAGCTTTGCGATAATAAGTTGCATAGCTAATGGTAGAGAAAAAGAGGTTGTTCGCGCGATGATTGCCGTTCTCTGTTCAGATGAAAGAGCCTAGATCTTGGCACGAAGCTACGCCGATAAGAAGGCGACGAAAGCAAATGGAATTATCGGAGCAATTTCGGCGAGCCAGATTTAAATCAGTTGGGTATACTCAAATATGCCTCGTGAATTCGTGCCAGACGGGGAATTAAATGAAAACCGGACTTTACCTCGGCCCTTTCTCCCTCCCTCCCTTCCATCCCCGCGCTTCGAAATTAATTTCAATTACGAGATTAATTTTTATGATTTCCAGATTTAACGAAGAACAATTGCGACGTACGGGATTCTATAAATTTTACTGTAATTTATATAATTTCCTTTCGTGGTCCTTTCATGCACAATACAATATTTCTTCGCTGATCATCTTTAGCTTTTGCAATTATTATTCTTTATCTATCCTTTTTAAAATATGAATCCTTCCTGTAGAGATCTATACATAAAAAAAAGTAATTTCAGAACAAGCTGAACCATCTAAATTTTAGAGAATTTTACTCTTGTATATGGCCTCGAGAAAATTCTTCTAAAATTAAGAGGAAAATATTACAAACACATTATTCTTAAAGATAGAGCAATTATATGTTATATGTATGATGCAAATCTTATTGATTTTAATATATGTTTCCTTTTATACATAGATTATTTAATATTTTTTTAAGAGTGTTATTATTTATTCTTATTGTACTTATTCTTATTAGTTACGTATACGTTCCTTTATAGGGAAAGAAGAGAAAATTATTTTAAAATTGTCCAGAAAAAATTCTATTTAAGTTTTTTTTTCATTTCTGCTGAAAAAGTAGGAAAAAGTATAAATTTGTAATTTTAAGTATTCTAAATGGCATTTAATGTAGTGTGCAACGCGATACGATAAATGGATATATTATGTATTTACACTGAAATACAGGCCAGTATGTTTTTCAATCGATTTTCTGTAAAAATTCTTGCACTTCGTTCATGACGAAACAAAATATACTGAATAATGATTTCTCTTGTTTTTCCTTTTGCTCTATGTTTCTCAACGTTCTCCATAAAACAAAAGACAACGGCGACGATCGTCATATGCACAGAAAATCTTGGTCTGTGTGGATTTCATTCCGAGTAATGGAAGAGGGAAAACGGCGACAAGTTCAAGTTCCTCTATGAGGAAATTGATTGATACAAGAGGAAATCCTCTTGAAATAAGAGGAAAATATAATAATATCTGACATCTAATAATATCTAATAATAAATTTTAGATGAATGGTTTACTTTAATCGTTTTTTCGAAAGAGGAGAATCCTCTTGTTGCAAGAGACTTCGCTTAAAATATAAGACAATGAGAAAAGTCATTTTACAAGTAGAATACTCTTTTTTGCGTGTAGGGATTTCCGGAAGATTCTCTCGAAAGTTGACGAATAAAATAAAACTTCGAATTTAGCGAGGATCACATCGAAAAATGGCTAGAAATCGGCGAAGCAAGGAACTGCAAAAATTAACAAAGTATTATATACAGGTAACACAAAAAGTAGAAATGCGCAAGGACTCTCCCGACCAATTAACTCTACATTGAATTTAGCGAGCATTCTACCGGAAGGATGGCTGAGAAGGCCAGAAGAAGACAAAAAAATTAACAAACTTATATTTTGCGCACGAACGACATAAGGAAAAGTAGACGTGCTCAAATACGTGATCTTCCGCCTAATCTAGACGCGGAGAGGACACAAGAAGCGCAAGAGGGCTGACCTGTCGCGATGGAGATGATGGAAGTTCTGCCGTCCATCTTGCCCGAGTTCTTCTTTCCAGGTTTCGGCGCTGACGAACCTCAAGTGTCCCGGTCTCTCTTCTTCGCATACGGCCGCAGAAAGCCCCGAGTGCCGACTGCGGCAGTCGAATGTTTGAGCCCTCGATCGTTCGTTCGTTCGCTCGTGGCGGAATCCAAGCATTGAAGGCGGCCACGACGTTTTACATATTAAATCATGCGCCTGGGCGCGATCACGAATGCGCGAATCGAAAAAACTAAGCGAGTCCCCACTTTTTTCCATCTTTCCCCCTCGTGTCGATCGTACCCTCCTCCCTCCTCCGCTCGATCTCGATTACGATCGGTTAGCGGGTTTCGCGAGCATCACGCGGGAAACACATCGATGGTATAATTATCGGCTATTATAAGGTTTACGACGAAGTTTCACGGATCCCTCGTTAATTGTCATTCTATGGCGGCAAGGGGGGAGGGGGTTGGGGAGGGAATGCGGGAGCAGTTCCCCTAACTCCTCTCCTCACGGTCCGACAGGTACACATCCCGCAGGGGTTTTAGTCGGTAAGAATCCGACATAACCCCCGCCCCCCCCCCAAGGGGGTGGGGGTATCCATGATGGATTTCCCCTGCGTGACCAAAAAAAAAAGGGGGGGAGGGCAGCCGTGCGCACCGCATTTGTAAAAGGATTTGATTCAATATTGTGTCGCAACTCGCACACAGTGTCGTCGAAGTAAGCTGCGCTTACTCTGTATTTGTATCGCCGTCGCTACATACTCAATTCATTAATTGCGTCATTATTTTGCTTCCGTCTCTGAACTGACCGCGACGGAAGATCTGTTTGCTTTCAGTAAATCGAATGGGTTCTCTTCGATCGTCCTATCTTTTATATAATTTAAAATGTAGGCGGCAAAAAATATAGAGAGAGAGAGAGGGAGAGTCAAACACATATCACATTAATTCAATATCAATTTAGTCAATATTAGTTCGATTAATTGAGTTAAACGGAACGCAACGGAGACTTCTATTTCGAGAAGGCCTTAGGCAATCACAGTTTAGATAACATTCTTTTGTTATCTGCGTTCCCTAATTATTGCTTTCTCATTCCTATTTTATACGGCTCTCTCGATGCTTCGTTAATATCCTTATTTACCCCGGAGACTATCTGTGTATTTTCTCATTTTAATTACTTCTGGATTTTCCGATCTTGCCATCGGATGAGGATGTCAACGGAGAAAGAAGGGACAGAAAGATCTGTGAAAAGTCTCAAGGCGAAGTCGTGATTTTTCCAACCTGACCCGTCGTGTCGTTTCTTCGAATTTCTCTTGCCTGTACGCGCGTCATTGAATCGGCGATCATGTGCCTCGAAATAACACACATGTGTTCACGCGTTCGGTCGAAATTACACGGAGACGCAATTGTTAACGACAGACACACACCGGTGCGGAATCGTAATTCCACTTGCCGAAAACAGCCATGGTGGGCCGCAACGGACGATGGATTTGTTTGATCAACTCGTTACCCAGGTTTGTCTTCCAGCCGAGGAGAAGACGGAATGTATCAGGCGTAAAAATCCGCGTGATCGGTCGGACAATATTTGCGCTAATTTGTGCATCAGAGACGAATTAAAGCTTCCGCCGATCCCGCGCCGGCAAACGTCTTTCTTATAAATAACCGCTGGATTGCGCGAAAGCTCACTCGACTCCGGCCGGATCGTCTCAGTCAGCCCGCTTTGCAGAGCGACGACCACGAGGAAATCCGAATTACTTTAGTTTCCCACGCTTTACACTTCATATTGTACGCGTTTACACCCGCGCTAAATTCGCGTTACATTTGTAAACGTAAACGTATATACCAGCTCGCGTTGCGAGTCTCACGTCACCATATAGCGTTGAACTCGTACAACTCGAGGGGTTTCGGGAAAATTGAAGGATCGAACACCGGGACGTTGCCTGTCACGCCGAAAATACTTTTATCCTTACCGAATCACGTAATGAGTATTATGGTGACTTTTTACGGAATCACGTAACAGCATCGAGAAGAGCTGGGATGAAACAGCGGGAGTCCTTGTGAGGGTGGAGAATCGGCGTTACCGCGTCCGCAATCGAGAACGATACTTTTTCGCACCGCTTTCGGAACTCTTGACTGATGATTATGTGCGGATCGCGTTGTCCGTCCTTAAGACAACATCAGACTTCGTACTTGCAAGAAACGAAAAGTCGTGTTATGTCTGCCGACCGGGGCAATTATGCGTAAGAATGTTTGTCGAATAGGAACGATCCTTCCTTGATTAAGGGGACCAGGAGCCTCCGACGAGCGCGAAACTGGTGTATGTTCGTAGACCTGGGAATTAGGCATCGATTGAGCTATCGTTACTTCTGACAGTTATCTTTACCTTTGTCTTAATTGATCTGCACGTTTGCAATGAGAATTTTCTTTTCGACGCGAGAGATCGTCGATTTTCGAATTTCGTGTAAGTCGTCCCTCGATATCGCGATGTTATTCTTGTGCAAGAGGGAAATGTTAATATTTCATGCAAACATTCTTCGTCAATACAACGTATTAACAGTTTGATAGGAGCTATCAAACTAGTCGTGTTGACTTTAAATTAAATCGGAATTGAATCGGTAAAATTAGAATATGAGCTAAGCGGACTTTTTTTTTTTAATGCTTTCCCGATATTTAATTAAGCGCATTCAAATCATGTAGCATATTGAATCACGCAAGAGATCAGAGCGTAGATTTCGTACTCTCTCTCTCGTACTATTTGAAAATGTCTTATAACCTGCAATTATGTCGTAAAATTTAAAAATAAAGTTGAAAATAAAAGTGCGTCTGACTTGACCTTTCATACTACTTCGTCGATTTTTCATTAAAAACGGTGGCGCCTCGTAGCGGAAACTTTTGAACTACATTTGTAAAATAATATCCTTTCCGCTCTAGTCTCGTAAAAAGATTGGCAAACAGTATACCTGGCACCATCTAGCCATTGCACGAAGAACTTTAAGCGGAAGATTTGAGTCCTAGCAAAACAGGGTTTGAGTCTTAATAAAGACCGTTAATCTTAGATTAATCGTCGGTGATGCTGCTTTAGACCCTTTAATAGACTTTACTTTTATTAGTTCCAAAGTCTCCGCTACAAGCCGCCATCACCTTTAACGAGAAATCGAGTTTGTAATGTAGTTCAATGAAATTTTGAACATTTAGGAGCGACCAGAGTACCAAAGCTAGTGAGGCCGCGGGGCAGCGGCGCCGGCGACCGGGCTGAGCGACGGCGGCTGGTAGCAAAACTAGAGAGTTTCGTTCGCAAAGAGAAACCTGATGGATTTGTGGAGCGAACTTTGGCTAGCCAAATTCCTATCAGTGATTTAAACGTCGATATGAGTCGCTCGACTGCATCGTCGAAGCTTCGTGAAATAAAAAACCGGTTGGTCGATGTTTACAGCTATTATTTACAGATCGAGAAATATTTTCGCATAAATCGCATGTGAAAGAATGATACGAAGTGTTTCGGCTGACACTTCGAGTCTCTTGAAGTCTCTGTCTCGGCATGTCGGCCCTCACTTCCTTTTCTTGCTCGGTATCAGGAGGGACAATAGTCCGCCAACTGAAAGAAAGTGATTATTTATCATCACGTCTCTGCATGTGAGATTCAAATTTTACTTAAATGTCAGATTGCACGCTCGGAAAGCTCCTGTCGCGTATTTAAGAATTTAAAACCTCCAGGAAGAAATTTCCCAGAAAGTGACAAGATTAGAGACGTGCGCGACTGCACAATCAGTCTTGTCCCAGACCTGGCGCCTGGGATTCCCGTACTTACAAGTGATGACACTAGCCAACATGAATATCGGCACCTCGCAGGTGAGATCCAGCAGCATGCCGAGCATCAGATTGCTCATTATCGCGCCAGCCCTTCCTAAGCATACCATTATGGATACCGCGGCGGCGCTTATATGTGTAGGGAAGATGTTGACCGCCACACCGGCCATCATGAAGTTCGACATGGTCAACATCAGTGAGAAGACGCACGCCACCATGAGGACTTGTTGCGAGGACTTCACGAAGTAGACGCCGAAGCTGGCTGCGCCGGCCAGCAACATGCTGATTGCTGTGAGGATTAAATCGTCGTTCTATTAACACTCTTGTTAATAAGATGAATCAACAAGTAAATAGAAAAAGAAAGAGAGAGTATAGAGAAAATATCGTCATAAATGCTATTGTACTGTTTTTCTATCACTCTGATGTCCAACTCAAAGCCAATTGGAAATAATATCAAGCAAATAACACGTGCATAGCACGCGCAAAAAAATTCATAAATACATAAAAGCAAACGGACCCGAATAACTCACAAGATAAGTCATTGATGATTAAAATCAACGGTTTAAACTATACCATTTTGCGAATACTGCGGCAAGAAGCGCATTACCGTAAATCGGCAACGGCACTTACTCGGTATCGTTCTGTGGTTGACTCGGTTCGTCAGGCACCCGGAGATAATGTTCGCCGGTAAGGAAACGGCGTTGATAGTCAATGAGTTGATGAAGACTCGTTCGTTTATATTCCGCTTGCACTCTGAGACAACTCCGTCCAACGAGAGGAATGGCTCATCCACAACGGTGACATTCAACGACTGCTGCATGTTGCGAGTCAACTCGCAGACGGACACTGATGCATTTGGATGCGACTGTTGGTAGTTTTCGAAGCGATTGAACAGTTCTGGCATCCAAAGACCGAAACCGTAGGACCTGACGGAGGAAACAGATTCGGTTACCCTCGTGTATAACGTTGAGAATACAAAGTAGCGTCCCTCTCACCGACGATCGTGTTCTCATTCGTTGTCCTAAAAGTCGACTTCCATGTTTACACTGTTTATAAAAGATGATTTACGATTTAGGAACAAGACACCTGTCACCTGAGGACTTTCGAGAGACGCTAAATTGTCCAAGAAAGTCTTCTTTTCATGAAGCCCGAGAAGGACTCACCCGAACATATTCGAGGCGTAGATCGTCCACAGGATGATGGCGTACTTCAAGTGCGGCGGTGACACAATGGTGCGCAGTTGCCACCAGATATTCTTCAGCAGGCTCGTCAAAGTGTGCATCGAAGACGACGACGTCTCGTCTTTCTTCACTTCCAATGTGACGTCGGAGAGTAATTGCTTCACCTGGCGAATATACGTGTCCCTTGTCAATCGCAACGAGGGAAATCGCACGTGATAATAAGCGGACGAACAAGAGAGAAGTCACGTCGAGAGAAATCCGTGTTACGTCGTTCTCGCTACTTTCCTCGGGCCCTCGCGAGCGCGACTCGTAAGTAAGCAAGGATAGAGTCACTCACCGGGTACTCGCTCTCGTCGCGGCCGGTGTTGACCGCGTAGATCTTCTGGAGGACCGCAAGAGCTTCGTCGGTCCTGCCCTGCGACACCAGGAACTTCGGACTCTCGGGATACTTGACGAGGATTATTACGGCTATGATGAAAGTCGGCACTCCGATGAAGCCGAGGAGCATCCTCCAGGAGTTGTAGTGAATGCCGTAGAACTCGTAGTTTATCGGCAGCGGTATGAAGATCCACGCTAGACCTGAATTGGTCAACGATCGTGGGTTAATTCATGACTCCTCGCGTCCATTTCGGTAATTCAACCGATACGATTAAACGACACGCTTTTAAAACGTTCAAAGGACACAATTTCTGAAAGTGACCAAAGGACCGGGCGGAAATACTTGCCTGGTAATATCAGCCAAGAAAGAGGCCAGAAGAAACCCAGGAAGCAGATGCCCTTTGTTTGGTACTTGTACTCGTAGAACTCGCCGAGATACGTGTATATCAGCGAACCAGGTGCGCCCATCCTGGAATAGAAAAGGCAACGATTCCAGTCAAGATCTAAGATCGGGCCAGTGACGTGCTCGTTGTTGTCGACCGCCGCCTACATGAATCCGCTTATCACCCGGAACATGAGGAATAGGTTGTAACTCTGCGAGAAACTCGTGATTATCGTTAGCACGCTGTCGGTGAAGAGAGTCAGCAGGATAATGTTCTTTCGCCCGTAAACGCCCGCGAAGATTCCCCAGAAAAGAGCGCTGAACGTGCAGCCTGCGGAAGAACGCAAACATAACACGTTAGTTACACGTGGACTCGTTCGCCATGTCTATATTCCGAGAGAGGAAAGACGGATCTACCTTACTCTAGATCTTGAAAGGGGAATGTTTTGCAGCAAAATTGGTGAGAATCAAATTTCAATGAAATTAAATTCAATGAAATTATATTACAAGAGGGATCGGACGAGTGTCTGCGATGACGCGCGGAAGCTCGCATGGGTCTCACCTCCGAGAAACGCGACGTTCAGGAACCCCTTCTGCTCAGAACCCATGTTGAAGTCGCACTCGGCCGACGGCAGGATGTACGCATTCACCGCGTATTGCATGCCGACGCAAATGAACAGTAAGCCGCACACCAGCAGAAACACGTACTGATATCTCCCGGTTCCTGCGGCCAATCATGAGCTACGGTAACTCGTCGAGATCGTTCTCGTTTGTACCATATTGTTGCACGGGTCGCGATTAACGATCTACTCGTAATTAATTACTGTCGTACTGTATAATCGTATGTTATCTTCCAAATTCAATGCATAATTTTTGCAGCCTGTAGATCGAGACAAAGTGGAGAAGAAGAAAAAAACGCTCCAATTACATTAACTCGTGATTTTTCATGTAATTATCTAATTAGATGATTAATCCAATAGACGGAATTCCGCCTTATGTGCTGACATTTAAGAGTGAATAACGCAACGAGGACTCACCGCATATCTCCAAGGCTGTTTCGATGTCGGTTTCCTCTTTGGAGTCTTTGTTTCGGTCTTTAGGAATATCTAAAAAAGGACAGAGAGGAATGTGACGACAAATTTCCCTTCGAGCTCCACTAAAAGGGGGAAAATGCGGCTTCTGGTAATAATGATCGCTCTAACAACACCGTGACTTATGAAGAGTGATTGCAAAAAGTCATTTGCAATTTAGTCCGCTTAAAACCTGAGATATCTGTCATTTGCGTCACATTGGGTAGTCGGTTATATCACATGCGTGTAAAATTTATACAAGGTGGACCACTAACAATCGATATTTTGGGTATTTGGAAAGAATCATATAAATTAAAGGGAAAATTCTGAGACGAAACCAGTGCAGTAGGCAAAAGATCGTCCTACGATTTTTCTTCCTCGTCTCTGCGGGGATGAAATTCTTCCCAGCTGCCGTAATTCACGAGATATTCGAGATGTCGATAGTTTTCAGACTGCCTTATATAAACGGTATAAACGAATAAATTATATAAATAGGAGAAACGCTCTATTTTTTAACTAAGCGTGTAGGATATCCGTTCGAGCCGTCGTCTCTTTCATAACTTCGCGAGTTCGTGTCGATTAAGCGTTGACGATTTTTCACGTGGAAGCTTTTTTTTCTCTTTTTTTAAGTAAATTTGCACCGCGGAATGATACGTGTGTACGTGTCGCTCTTGTTTCGCAATGTTCTGTGACCTACTTATTTTTGGCCCATTTGACAACTCGTCCGGAAACCGAAAAAAAAAAGATAATAAAGTCGTATTCGCGAGTCGACTTTCCGAGAAATATATTAGTGACACGGTGAATCTTCGTCCTTTTCTTCCTGATGCGATCCGTAATTAAGCAAATAGACGTCGACAGAAAACCGCCAGATTATAGAGGCGAATGCACTTATTGCACCGTTCATTAATCGAAGCCAGTGTCCGTCGATAAGGATTTTTACCGCGCGCGTCATTAGCCTGGTGGTTTTGCTCCAGGACATTTTCGCGCCGAAAATAGCTCTCGTTCTGCCGCAACGTTGCACACGAGCTTGATGTTACCAAGCTCGTTATCAACCCGAATTTCTAGCCGTTTTATCGTTTTGAGTTAAAGCCTCTCCCGCTTTATATTCCTACTCTTCGATCGTCACGCTAATTATCGATATGTCACATTTGGCGTAATCGCATTGTAGCGGGAAGTTTAGTATAATGATAATTTAATGAGTTGAACGAGATTTTATCGAAATCTTAACGAGGGTATCGACTGTTTTCCCGAATCATTTTCAAGGAGTCCTCGGAGAAGATTGAAGCTTGGTTCAAGCTGATTGCGGCCAAGAAGCGAAACACGTAATTATATCGCACCTTCGCAGGTATCTCCATGTAAGTATTAATATAACTTCTAGTGAAACATCTTGATAAAAATTTCTCCTGATCAATAATATTTCTTGCTCAATAAGAACGTGCCCCCCAATTGAGAATATTTTCTCTCGTTAGAACAAGATGCAGTTGGCGGAGATGGCTGCCCATCTTTTCTTTTCGCTGTATTATTTGCTTATCGGCGAGATCGTCGCAGTGTGTCGCTCTTGCAGCGCGCAGCCAGTCTTGATAATCGATGCAGCGATATCGCCGATCGACGAGTTGAATAAACGCGGCAATAAACGCGCTCAGTGAAACATTAGCGAGTCGTATGAATCGTGGTAGGAGGCTGTGCCGCGTGTGGTTACTTAAATATTTTAAGTTTGCTCGGCAGAGTCTCGCGTGTGCCGACGATGGAATTTTTGTGTGCGAATTTTTCATCGATAATTAGCCAGCGGCAACAGCCATGCGAATTGATCGGAACACATCGTTTCGACATTCTCGATCCTTTATCTCGCTCCTCGATTAGTTCTCGATGTACGAACCCTGCATCGCGAATATGAGAGCGTTCTTTCGGGTTCAAGTCTCGAAGAGCCTCACTCGGTGGTCGTTTGCGTTTCATCAACCTCATTCTGCCGGCCAAAGCGAAATCAAGTGCTTCACGTTGCATCGGTTGATGGGAGGCTATTTGCCAACTGTTTGCCTCAAACGTTGCGGTAAAACGTCTAAACAATTGACGTTGATGTGAAAAACAAGTCGTAAGACGAGGCTCATCGTAGGTCTCGCGGATAAACGGTAACGAATCGACCATTCTTCGAGTTGCGCGCAACATGCGTGAGAGAAGGTCTGCAAAGTGGCCAATTAAAGGATAGTTAGACAGATATGATCGCGCTGTGTCACTTTAGCGGGCTCAATGACGCATAGCTTTGAGATAATAAGTTGCATAGCTAATGGCGAGTAGAGAAAAAGAGGTTGTTCGCGCGATGATTGCCGTTCTCTGTTCAGATGAAAGAGCCTAGATCTTGGCACGAAGCTACGCCGATAAGAAGACGACGAAAGCAAACGAAATTATCGGAGCAATTTCGACGAGCCAGATTTAAATCAGTTGGGAATACTCAAACACGCCTCGCGAATTCATGCCAGACGGGGAAATAAATGAAAACCGGACTTAACTTCGGCCCTTTCTCCCTCCTTCCCTCCCTCCCTCCCCCCTCCCATCCACGCGCTTCGAAATTAATTTCAATTGCGAGAGTTTTTACGGTTTCGAAGTTTAACGAAGAACAATTGCGACGCATCGGATTCTATAAATTTAACTGTAATTTATATAATTACCCTTCGTGGTATTTTCATGCACAATACAATATTTCTCCGCTGTTCATCTTTAGTTTTTGCAATTATTATCCTTTATCTATCCTTTTTAATTTATGAATCCTTCCTGTAGAGATCTATACATCCAAAAAAAGTAATTTCAGAACAAGCGGAATCATCTAAATTTTAGAGGATTTTACTCTTATATATGGCCTCGAGAGAATTTTTCTAAAATTAAGGGGGAAATATTACAAACATATTATTCTTAAAGTTAGAGCAATTATATGTTATATGTATGATGCAAATCTTATTGATTTTAATATATGTTTCCTTTTATACATAGATTATTTAATATTTTTTTAAGAGGGTTATTATTCATTATTACTGTACTTATTCTTATTAGTTACGTATACGTTCCTTTATAGGGAAAAAAGAGAAAATTATTATAAAACTGTAGAAAAAATTCTAGTTAAGCTTTTTTTTCATTTCTGCTGAAAAAGAAGGGAAAAATATAAATTTGTAATTTTAAATATTCTAAATGGCATTTAATGGAGTGTGCAACGCGATACGATAAATGGATATATTATCCATAAATGGATATAGTATTTACGCTGAAATACAGGCCAGTATGTTTTTCAGTCGATTTTCTCTAAAAATTTTTGCACTTCGTTCATGACGAAACCACATACACTGAATAATGATTTCTCTTCTTTTTTATTTTGCTCTATGTTTCTCGACGTTCTCCATAAAACAAAGGATAACGGCGACGATCGTCATATACACAGAAAATCTCGGTGTGAGTAGATTTCATTCCGATTAGTGGAAGAGGAAAAACGGCGACAAGTTCAAGTTCCTCTATGAGGAAATTCATTGATACAAGAGGAAATCTTCTTGAAATAAGAGGAAAATATAATAATATCTGATATCTAATAATATCTAATAATAAATTTTAGATGAATGGTTTACTTTAATCGCTTTATCGAAAGAGGAGAATCCTCTTGTTGCAAGAGACTTCGCTTAGAATATAAGACTATGGGAAAAGTCATTTTACAAGTGGAATACTCTTTTTTGCCTGTAGGGATTTTTATGGAATTTCTGATTTCCGGAAGATACTCTCGAAAGTTGACGAATAAAATAAAACTTCGAATTAACGAGGATCCCGTCGAAAAATGGCTCAAAAGCGGCGAAGCAAGGAACTAGAAAAATTAACAAAGTATTACATGCAGGTAACACACAAAGGAGAAATGCGCAAAGACGTGCTCTCCCGGCCAATTAACTCTACATCGAATTTAATGAGCATTCTACCGGAAGGATGGCTGAGAAGGCCAGAAGAGGACAAAAAAATTAACAAACTTATATATTGCGCACGAGCGACGTAAGGAAAAGTAGGCGTGCTCAAAAACGCGATCTTCCGCCTAATCTAGACGCAGAGAGGACACAAGAAGTGCGAGAGGACTGACCTGTCGCGATGGAGATGATGGAAATTCTGCCGTCCATCTTGCTCGAGTTCTTCTCTCCAGGCTTCGGCGCTAACGACGAACTTCGTGTGTCTCGGTCTGTCTTCTTCGCGTACGGCCGCAGGAAGCCCCGACTGCCGATTGCGGCAGTTGAACGTTTGAGCCCTCGGTCGTTCGTTCGTTCGCTCGTGGCGAAATCCACGCATCGACGGCAGCCACGACGCTTTAAATATTAAATCATGCGCCCGGGCGCGATCGCGAGTGCGCGAATCGAAAAACCTAAGCGAGTCCCCACTTTTTTTCATCTTTCCCCCTCGTGTCGATCGTACCCTCCTCCCTCCTCCGCTCGATCTCGATTACGATCGATTAGCGCGTTTCGCGAGAATCACGCGGGAAACACGTCGATGGCATAATTATCAGCTATTATAAGGCTCATGACGAAGTTCCACGGATCCCTCGTTAATTGCCATTCGCTGGCGTCGTGAGGGTGGGGGGGAGGGCAGCGTGCGCGTCGCATTTGTAAAAAGATTTGATCCAATATTGTGTCGCAACTCGCACGCAGTGTCGTTGAAATAAACTGTGCTTACTCTGTGTTTGCATCGCCGTCGCTAGATGCTGAATTCATTAATTGCGCCATTATTTTGCTTCCGTCTCAGAACTGACCGCGACGGAAGATCTGTTTGCTTTCAGTAAATCGAATGGGATCTCTTCGATCGTCCTATCTTTTATATAATTTAAAATGTAAGGGACAATAAATACAGAGAGAGAGAGAGAGAGAGAGAGAGAGAGAGAGAGAGAGAGTCAACACATATCACATTAATTCAATATCAATTTAGTCAATATTAGTTGGATTAATTGAGTTAAACGGAGCGCAACGGAGACTTCTATTTCGAGAAGGCCTTAGGCAATCACAGTTTAGATAACATTCTTTTGTTATCTGCGTTCCCTAATTATTGCTTTCTCATTCCTATTTTATACCTATTTTATACGGCTCTCTCGATGCTTCGTTAATATCCTTATTTACCCCGGAGACTATCTGTGTATTTTCTCATTTTAATTACTTCTGGATTTTCCGATCTTGCCATCGGATGAGGATGTCAACGGAGAAAGAAGGGACAGAAAGATCTGTGAAAAGTCTCAAGGCGAAGTCGTGATTTTTCCAACCTGACCCGTCGTGTCGTTTCTTCGAATTTCTCTTGCCTGTACGCGCGTCATTGAATCGGCGATCATGTGCCTCGAAATAACACACATGTGTTCACGCGTTCGGTCGAAATTACATGGAGACGCAATTGTTACCGACAGACACACACCGGTGCGTAATCGTCATTCCGCTTGCCGAAAACAGCCATGGTGGGCCGCAACGGACGATGGATTTGTTTGATCAACTCGTTACCCAGGTTTGCCTTCCAGCCGAGGAGAAGACGGAATCTATCAGGCGTAAAAATCCGCGTGATCGGTCGGACAATATTTGCGCTAATTTGCGCATCAGAGACGAATTAAATCGTTCGCCGATCCCGCGCCGGCAAACATCTTTCTTATAAATAACCGCTGGATTGCGCGAAAGCTCACTCGACGCGTCTCCGGCCGGATCGTCTCAGTCAGCCCGCTTTGCAGAGCGACGACCACGAGGAAATCCGAATTACTTTAGTTTCCCACGCTTTACACTTCATATTGTACGCGTTTACACCTGCGCTACATTCGCGTTACATTTGTAAACGTAAACGTATATACCAGCTCGCGTTGCGAGTCTCGCGTATAGCGTTGAACTCGCACAACTCGAGGGGTTTCGGGAAAATTGAAGGATCGAACACCGGGACGTTGCCTGTCACGCCGAAAATACTTTTATCCTTACCGAATCACGTAACGAGTATTATGGTGACTTTTTACGGAATCACGTAACAGCATCGAGAAGAGCTGGGATGAAACAGCGGGAGTCCTTGTGAGGGTGGAGAATCGGCGTTACCGCGTCCGCAATCGAGAACGATACTTTTTCGCACCGCTTTCGGAACTCTTGACTGATGATTATGTGCGGATCGCGTTGTCCGTCCTTAAGACAACATCAGACTTCGTACTTGCAAGAAACGAAAAGTCGTGTTATGTCTGCCGACCGGGGCAATTATGCGTAAGAATGTTTGTCGAATAGGAACGACCCTTCCTTCATTAAGGGGACCAGGAGCCTCCGACGAGCGCGAAACTGGCGTATGTTCGTAGACCTGGGAATTAGGCATCGATTGAGCTATCGTTACCTGTGACAGTTATCTTTACCTTTGTCTTAATTGATCTGCGCGTTTGCAATGAGAACTTTCTTTTCGACGCGAGAGATCGTCGATTTTCGAATTACGTGTAAGTCGTCCCTCGATATCGCGATGTTATTCTTGCACAAGAGGTAAATATTAATATCTTATGCAAACATTCTTCGTCAATACAACGTATTAACAGTTTGATAGGAGCTATCAAACTAGTCGTGTTGACTTTAAATTAAATCGGAATTAAATTGTATACGTAATAAATACGTAAAATTAGAATATGAGCTAAGCGGACGACTTTATTTTTAACGCGCTCCCGATATTTAATTATGCGCATTCAAATCATACGACATAATGAATCACGCAAGAGATTAGAGCGTAGAGATCGTACTATTTGAAAATAAGGTCTTATAACCTGCAGCTGTGTCGTAAGACTTAAAGATAAAGTTCAAAATGAAAGTGCGTCTGACGCTTGTCCTTTCATACTACTTCGTCGATTTTTCATTAAAAACGGTGGCGCCTCGTAGCGGAAACTTTTGAACTACATTTGTAAAATAATATTCTTTCCGCTCTAGTTTCGTAAAAAGTTTGGCAAACAGTGTACCTGGCGCCATCTAGTTATTGCACGAAGAACTTTATGCGGAAGGTTTGAGTCCTAGCTAAACAGGGTTTGAGTCTTAATAAAGACCGTTAATCTTCGGTTAACCGTCGGTGATGCTGTTTTAGATCCTTTAGTGGACTTTTTACTTTTACTAGTTCCAAAGTCTCCGCTACGAGCCGCCACTATCTTTAAGGAGAAATCGAGCTTGTAATGTAACTCAATGAAATTTTGGACAAATATTCATTTTTATTATTATAATTTTTGTTATTATTATTAGTCAGTTTTACTGTACAACAACAGCATTCAAAATTTAGGAGATCTCTTTATCTTCAATTAGTGTGACTTAAAAATGGGTTAAGAGCCTTTTCAGTTTCAAATAGTATAATTTAAGAGCGAATCAAAAATACTTTTGAGTAACACATGAAAATTAAAGAATCATTCTCGAAATCGAATCGATCTTGTAAAATAGGCAAAATTCAACTGGCTATAACTTGGACAAAAATAATAATAATGAGATGGATCGAAAAGTACTTAACAGTCTAAAGTCTCTAATTTTCAGCTATGTTACAGAAATAATTATATTGTTATTTTTCACTAAGATATATTCAATCAAATCATGAGAAGTAACGATAGTTCTCTTTTCAGGTATTATTTTTCGATTTAGTTTTTGCATTGCAAATTTATTTGTATGAAAATATGACGGATAAATTTGAAAGAGAAAACCTTAAGCTTCCTATTCATTTTTCCAGAAGCGTCACACATCGATCTGTTTACTTTTTACAAGCGGTTGAACGCGAAAGGTTAGTTTTTGCTCCAACGTTAAATAACTCGGTAAAAATCATACTGTAATCTGCGAGTTCGTATATTAAAAGGCTTTATGCTTTTAAACAATATAAACGTCGTAGGATCTCTCATTTGTGCTATTTAATGCGATAAACTTTATGAAAATATTTCGCTTCTGACAAGTTCCGAAATTATATTTATGCGATGGCGTAAAATTGAGTAAATGACATATTCAGTGATATATTTAAAAACTAGAGATTTTAAGCTGCAAAATATTTTCTGAACCATTTTACTAGCATTATTTTTGTTCAAACTATTGTTAACTGGATATTGTTGAAATCTTTCTACGCATAAAATTGAAAATAAACGACTTTTTATTTTCCATTTCTTTTCTTTTCATTTTTCGTTCACGAAAATTATAGTACCTTATTGCTTAGCACTCTTTTCCGCGTGCTCTCGTTCTTCTTTGTATTCTTGTATTTAAACTTATTACTGCAAAAACTTGCGGTACCTTCGCGCGTCTCTCCTCCGCTCGAAACGCAGTTGAAAAGAACAAGTCTAATCATACACGGAATTGATCAGACGAAGGGAGTGAAGGGAGAGATCAATTTCGGCAATATGCGGTATCAACGGACCGGCCGACAATAACGCTGAAATAAAGTAACACACGTACGGAGAATAAAACAATTAAGTGCGCTTTATTTCCATAAATGTACAGAGTGGAGCTCATTGTTATTCACTCGCGCGAGTTTCTTTATTTACCGAGCGTTACGTTATACTTTCGCGGCAGGGTAAAATGCACGTTCGAACAATAATGACAAAATGGCAATTATTCATGCGGTTACAAGCGTCGAAACGAAACGTCAATATCATTACACGCTGCTCCGCCGTCTAGGAACCGTGTGGAAGAGAGAGAGAGAGAGAGAGACAGAGAGAGAGAGAGAGAGAGAGAGAGAGAGAGAGAGAGAGAGAGAGAGAGAGAGAAAGAGGGAAGAAGGGGAGAGAAGTAAAACGCTCCAAGTAAAACAAATATCCTCGGCTACTGCAAAACTTTTGCGAGACGCATTATTCGCGCGACGCGTTTCGCTGCGAGCGCGCGGGACGCGCAGGTGCTTCGCGCTTCTACCGGGTGACCGGGGCGTACGCTTCGCCTCCGCCGCTCCGCGATGTCGCGCGACGTCGTCGTTGGTAGCCGTGGCCGCCGCCGTCGCCGACGCGGCGGCGGCGGTGGCGGCGGCGATGTGGACACGGTCGCCTCGGCAACTGCCGTCAATTCCGTAAACACACAAGTGCGCATTCGTGTGAAAGGCCGCATGAAAAAAAGCTGCTCGCGTCGCGGCTCGCTTGGCGGAGATGAGCGAGGATGTGATTGCGCCGCGACGACTCGCACCTTCCGTGCCCGTCTGAGAGCCGCTCTCCTTGGTGTTGCCGGCACCGGATCCTCGGCGGATCTCCCGAGTTCCGGCCGTCTCCGCCGCCGCCGCCGCCGCCGCCGCCGCCGCCGCTGTCGCGACGATGTCGGAGAAGAAGGCCGCCGAGAAGGTCTCCGAGATTGACCAGCACATCAGCAAACAGTACGACATCGTGCGACGTCTCGGCAAAGGGGTAACTCGCCCTCCGTTCGTTCATCCGCTCGTTCGCCGCTCACCCCTTGCGGTCTCCCTGCGACTCGCCCGAGGAAATTCGCGGGTCCTGCGTGATGATAATAAATCGGATCTGCGCGTCTTTCTTTTGTATCGGTGGCAGTGAGAGGTGGTGGTCGGGCTAGGTGTGAGAGAAGGAAGGAAGGTTCGCGCATGTCGATACAGCGCGAGGCTTTCCCAGGGCTTTTAAGGGGTTCCTCGCGCGGACACGTTACGTTTTAAATATGCAATTACGGGGCGACACACGCGGCCGCGTGACGTATGAATATTTCAGACCCGGGTCTGGATTTTTCATGAATTGAAAGCAGCAACATGTGATTTCGTGCCACCGCGTCTTCCGGCCCTCGCGTTCTTGTTGAGAAGCTTTTTTTCTGCTTTCCGAAAATGTTATGAAAAATCTTATCTTATCGCTTGCGGTCTCTTTGCGGTCAATATCTCTTGAGTCTCTTATTATTTCATTTTATTTCTGCATTTTATTTCGCAGACCTTAAAGATCCTTCAGCGTAAAATTTCCGGCTCTCTCTTCCTTGAAGTTCTCTAAAAATGAGAGCTTTGTTTTCACTTTCTTTTTTAAAGACGTGACCGTTGTTGTCTCGAGAAAGAAACGTTGAAATACGTGTAGCCAATGCATCGGCAATCTTTGAAATCTTCGATTCTTCGACTTTTTAAAGATAAAAGTTTCGATCTTTCAAGATCTCTAGAAATAAAAGTTTTAATCTTCTAATCTTTAAGTCTTTACGTCTTTGAAAATGTTTTCATGCTTTTCTGAAGACACACGTAGACAATGGGGGGCGATAGAGGATAAGAATTTCCATCTTGGAAGATCATCAGGATTCGAGTCGAGATCCTTAAAGATTTCCAGAAATAAACATTGAAATCCTCGCATTTGCGAAGACGTTCCCGCGTTTTGCTAAAAGAATTATCGAGAGTCGCGCATAACGCGACTAAAAAATCTGGTGATATTAAAATTTGGCGATAAAGGGCTTCGCGCGTTGTACCGCGCGTTCTAACGTGGTTTCTGTCCGAAGTTTCCGAACTCGCGCGATATATCAATAATCGTCATGACTAATCTATCTTGTTAGGAGAGCTTAAGTTGCCGGGGACAATCAATAACGATACGGTGAAAAGCCGTCGCTATCGCAACAATGACGAATGGATCGACGCGTCGCATCGTCACGAGCCGATTTTTGGCTCAGTCTTCTATTGGCACGGGCGATCTAATAATAGGCGTCTTTGCGAGACGGTCTCTCTCCCTCTCCCTCTCCCTCTCTCTCTCTCTGTCTCTCATCTACATTGTAACGAGCGTGCGATGTAAATTGAGATAATGCAATATTCATCGTGCGCATCGCTCGCGCTTGTACTTTCTGGCGTGATCAATGCTCGGCCGAGACGATTTCGATCGTGCGGATAAAAAGCGCCCTACCCTCCGTCGATATCCACCCCCCCTCCTCTCCTGTGCAGCACGGTGAGACTCGCGACTCGTGGGGCTAATGTCGCGACATCACGTGCAACGAGCATGCACAGAGGGGATTTATGTAAGAGCACTTAGCCGATATTGTGGGCGACGCACGTGGCGTGCGCTGACGGACTTGTTCTACTTGGAGACGTCGACGACGACATCCGAGGATCGAGGAGTCGCGAGTCGCGATTGTGAAATCTGATGAGACAAGATTTGCATATGTATATACTTTTTCGTCACTCTTCTTCTGCGTGAGATCTCTCATCCGTGAAAGGGAGAGAAAAATCCGTCGAGACAAATCGAGTCGAGTAAATTTAAACGGACTCAATTTCTGCTTAGTGTTTATCCCGACGAGTAGATTGCCTCCTGACATTTTATCGCCGAAATTGGTGTTTCGCGAATGTCTTGTCCGCGCGGAGCGAGATTTGAATCCGTCAAGATTTCGTTCGAATAAACTCGATTGGAACTTCGCTCATCCGGACGATCGTAAAGCCGACTCATCGCACTTTCGGCTGCGCAATGTTACTTGACATATTATTTGCTGCTTTGACTCACCAAATCTTTCGATGAGAGCTCAAATTCGATCCGTATACGTCAGGCTTACGGTATAGTATGGAAGGCGATCGAGAAGAAACGGCAGGACACGGTGGCGGTGAAGAAGATCTTCGACGCGTTCCGGAATCAGACGGACGCGCAGCGCACGTTTCGCGAGATCATGTTCCTGCTGTCGTTCGCCAATCACGAGAACATCATCCGGCTGATCGGGCTGCACAAGGCGAACAACGACCGGGACATTTATCTGGTCTTTGAGTACATGGGTGAGTTTCGCTCCGATTTCCGGGAGGAACGACTCGCGCACGCGAGGCCATCGATTCTCACTGCGTCGCTCCTGAAAAACCGCCCTCGACTCGTGTTTTCCGCAGAAACCGACCTGCACAACGTCATCAAGCGCGGCAACATCCTCAAGGACATCCACAAGGTCTTCATCATGTACCAACTTTTTAAAGCGATCAAGTACATACACTCGGGCAATGTTATTCACCGGGACCTCAAGGTAAGTTCCGCGCGAAGACCGCGACGAAAAAAAAGTCCCTTTCCCGCTCCGCGAGTTTCGGAAGCCCCGCGCTGCGAGGAAACGGAAACTGGCGTTTGGAATCGAAATACAGCGGCACGGTGAAATAACGATACGAAGCGTATCGTAGAGCAATACTAATTAGTGAACAATTATTGGAAATTATTGGAATAATAAGTATGGAAAATGACTGAGAAAGCCGTTACTACAAAAGTAGTAAGCGCTCTCTCGGCGCGCGCAGGAGAGAGTCTGGTTGAGTTAGCGACGATGAACGACGATGAAGGACGAAGCGAATGCATTTTCTCCGAATTTCCGCTCCTTACAAATCAAATTTGATTTCGAGAATCCGAAGTTCCGCTTCCTCCGAGCGGAGCGTCCTTGGCTCGCAATGATAATCGCTCTCTCTCTCTCTCTCTCTTTCTCTCTCTCTCTCTCTCTCTCCCCCTCCCTCTCCCCCTCTCTCTCCCTCCCTCTCCCCTCACCCCTCTATCTCCCTCTTCCTCTCTCCCCCTCTCTCTCTCCCTCTCTCTCCCCCTCCCTCTCTCCCTCTCTCTCCCCCTCCCTCTCTCTCACTCTCCCCCTCTCTTTCTCTCTCTCTTCCTCTCTCCCTCTCTCCCTCCCCCTCTCTCTCTCCCTCTCTCTCTCTCTCTCCCTCTCTCCCTCTCTCTCTCTCTCTCCCTCTCTCCCTCTCTCTCTCTCTCTCCCTCTCTCTCTCCCCCCTCCCTCTCCCTCCCTCTCCCTCTCTCTCTCTCTCCCTCCCTCTCTCTCTCTCTCTCTCTCTCTCTCTCTCTCTCTCTCTCTCTCTCTCTCTCTCTGTTTCTCTCATCAGAGCGACACGAGGATACGGTTGGCGCCGAGAATGTGAGTGAAATTTGTGGCGAGTTGAGAAATGAATGATTTTCCCGGCTGGTGCGGAGAGAAATCGTCCTTGGAGAGAACTCCACGTGCGTTCTCCGACGCGTAACCGCCAAAGGCGCCTCTCGTTTCTCGTTCTCGCGGATGAGAGAAATGACTGTCTTTAATTTTCATACTCGCTCGCACGAGGTTCCGCACGTTCGACGTCGTGCCTCGTGTTGTCGTCGCGGGGCGGTGACACGTGCATCGTGTATCGTTTATGTATTGCGTGGAGATCTATTCGCGTTATCTCGTGATTGCAGCCGTCCAATGTGCTCCTGAATGCGCAATGCCACTGCAAAATCGCGGACTTCGGCCTGGCACGTTCGGTAACGCAGATCGGCGAGGGTGACGGCGAGACTGGGAGCGATCCGACCCTGACGGACTATGTCGCCACTCGCTGGTACCGCGCGCCGGAGATTCTCATAGCTTCAAAGAGGTACAAGTTTATTTGGCTTGCGCGTTCCCTCGCGCGTGCTCTCGCCGCGCGCCGGAGCCGGGCCTGTTTATTTGTTTTCCCCAGCACTTTCATGATCTCTCGCGCTCGGATCTCTCCCCTCGAGTAAAAGAAGAAAAGAGAGAGAGAGAGAGAGAGAGAGAGAGAGGGAGAAAGAGCAAACACCATCGTGAAATTCTCACTTTAAGTAATCGCGTTATCTCTGTTCTGCGGAATGGAAAGAAAAAAAACGAAACAAAGTTCATCTTCTCCAGAGTGAACGACGACTTTTGAAACAACTCGAGGAGTTTGTTAATTTTTTTGTCATCATTTAACCGGTCGAAATCAGTGAGTCGCGGGGTGTCGACTCGCGCGGCACGTTGGGAGAGTTAATTGAAATTCAATAATTCCGAGTTTGAAGGGATTGCACAGCTGAACTATTTGACAGACATGTGGACAACCGCGGCTTAGTGGTACATGAGCTCTCAGCTTTCAGTTTGTTGCTCGCAATCTTAACGCAGTTTAAGCCAAACGTGGGCACAGCAGCGTAAACCCTCGGAGTTGCCGGAACTTCTCAACTAAGAAGTTGCTAATCTTGCTATGTAATTTACAAGGCTGTCGAGGATAATAAGATGACGCATAACTGAGTTAGGTCCAAAGTGGTCTGGTGGCAGAGAAAGAGGAGGGAGAGAGATAGAGAGAGAGAGAGAGAGAGAGAGAGAGAGAGAGAGAGGGAGGGAGGGGAATCTGCTTCACTTAACGGCACCAATATCGACAAAAATGCTCTGGGTTTGTAAGCCGCGGGAAAACATTACAGTTTGAATTCACCTCGAATAATCACCGGGGTGAAAATCACAGTTTCATAATCGCGACGATTCGCAGCGTGCGCGATTACAATCTCGCCGGTCCGCTCGTAAAATAAATTCATATTTATCGACTTTATCTCGATAATTAATTAGTGCGGTGCGGTCCAACAATCACTTTATGCGTTATGGTAGGTATTATCGTAGTTATTAATTAGTACGACGCGGCTCATACAGGACCATTCACGTAAGGCTCAACAATTTTATATCCGGAAAATCGTGATCAATTTTGATCCTCCTGACAGTCTCGCAGATGTCAGAGGGATTTAACTTCGATGTTTTATGCGTTATTAAAAACATTCACATGATCACTACAAGATACAAGGGAATTTGTCCGTGTAAAAAAATATCCTAGTGCAAAATTCTCTTAGAATCTCTCAGGCAGTCTGGTCGTCAAGCTTTACGCGTGGACTCACTCTGTAATCACTTTCATCATTTGTCAATCAGTTTTGCAGTTGTTAATAAGTATAACACGTTTCATAATCTCGATTGCCAATCTGCTCACAGATCGAACCGATTTTTGTAGATGCCGTCCTGGTTGCTAATTATCGTTAATTAGTACGGCGCGATTAAATTACCGCTCGATAACGCGCAACTGTAACAAGAATGAGACACGTGCCTCGGTGTGCCCGTTTGATATCTCGATTCTCCGTGTGTGTGTGTGTGTGTGTGTGTGTGTGTGTGTGTGTCTTTGTGTGCTCCTCAAGCGCGCCAATTGCGACATAGCCACTTGGGGGACTAGTCTCCTGAATCGATTACTTTTCATTCGCGATGGAGCTCGGGCAATCGCCGGAGTCGTATTCTACCCGCGACAATGCGAATGTTCTCAGGTACACAAAGGGGATAGATATGTGGTCCTTAGGCTGTATTCTCGGCGAAATGCTGCTCGGGAAGCCACTCTTCCCCGGTTCATCGACGATAAACCAAGTCGAGAGGATAATGGCGACTCTACCTGCGCCGACAGACGAAGGTAACGTCACTTATGCCGAGTACGTTCCGAGTAGTAGAGAGGAGGGAGAACAGAAGAAGGAAAGCGCGCGGGAAGAGAAAGGACGCGATCGGGCGAGCGAGAAAATGCTCTTCCCGAACGTTTGCTCTTTCAGATCTAATATCGGTTAGCGCCGGCTACGGAACCAATCTGCTGGAGAAGACGCCCAACGGACCGAGACGGGCGCTGAAGGATTTGTTGCCGGAAGTGTCGGAGAAAGCCTTGGATCTTATCAGCAATTTAATAGTCTTCAACCCAACGCAGCGGCTCACCGCCGTCGAGGCGCTGCGGCACTCCTACGTCGCCGAGTGAGTCGCATTTATCATAATTAGCCATAACGAGGACGATGCGCTCGGAAATTCCTTTCGTGACGCTTGAGTGCCATCGGCGACGAGGAATCGCCCGGGTTTCGTCGTCCGCGAACTCCTCGCGACCCGATATCGCTCCTCGCGGAATTGCGGTCGCGCCGACGCGACGCGACGCGGATGTTCGCGATTTATCGTCCGCCGAGCGCTCGACCAATCGTCGTTTTTCCAAAAATGTGAAATGTCGATGCCTTCTTTATTCTTGATTTCGCGCCGTGAAAAACCGCTATCCCGTATTCGTTATCCTCATCACGTCGCACATTGCGCGCGCGCGCGCGCACCGCACCTGTGCGATCGCGCTTCGTTTGCATTTGCATTTGTTACGAGCCGACGGCGGAGTCGCGGCAGACTCGGGGTTAAAAATTCGCCGACTTTTTATTATCCTTTATTGGCCGATCATTTGCGTGTGACAGTCGCACGCGGAATCTATCGATTTCCGATAGCGCGCCGCGCGACGTGGCGCGGCGGCTCGGCACAAGCCGACTGGAAATTTCGTTCGAGTATATATCGGATATGTCGCGCCGCGCGAGGAACTGGAAAAGTGTAACCTGAAGATAATCTTAACACGGTGGCCTAGCGACGCCTTCCACGAACGGGTGGATATTTTTCGGATGGGAAATTACAGGTCAGACTTCTGTGAATTGTCAAGCGCTTTTTGTTTTTATTCATTTAACAGCTTGATTGGCTTATTTCTAATAAGCGGGGTAAAATTTCGCTTTTACGAGGACCTTGAGAAACCTTGATTACACGACGCGTTGCGTCATACGGTTCGTTAGGAGCCGAAAATTGATATTGTCCTTATACGGAGCCGATTGAGGTCAACCCGCGCAGGATCGCGGAGCAAATCTCGGCAGTCGGCCGAGGTGTTGCGTTTGACTCTTTGGATATTCACAGCCGTATCTTTTGAACCTGTATTCGCCGGAGAGGACTTTTCCCGCTGGGAATTCTACGTTCGGAGTGTTCGCCTGTCCGTTTAACAGGACGGAGGGACAAGCTTACGCGGCGCTTTAATGGCCGGGAGCGGCGGGTAGATATTTAATTAGAAGAATTCTCGTTTCGACAGATTTCACCGGCGGGGAAACGAGCCGGAGAGAGGCTCCAGCGTTGTGCCGTTGCTGAGCGATGACGTGCAACTCTCGGTCGACGAATACAGAAATAAGCTTTACGCGATGATGGACGATAAGCATCGCAAGCACAAAAACATGTGAGCATATTTATTCGCGCGCACGCGATTATTATTTCATATCACATAATAAGGGCCGCGTGTGCGCCGGCAAAACGCGCGTTTCATGCATTTCCGTAATATGAGACAACCGAGTGTCGGCGACAGCAACTTTATATTCAAATTTCAAACTCGTAGAGGATTTCATTTCGCATTCCCCGGTAGCGAGTAATACACGGCGAGCACGCGCGTGTGCATTATTATAATTCACCCAAGGGGTTTCTGCTCGGGCTTTTCGGGCGTTACTTTCAAACACGACGGAAATATTCAGGAGGATAATTATCGGGGTCCGGACGCGTGTATAATGTGCGATAACAATTCTTGTCGAGTCAACGATTGTCTCGCAGGTCAAGGTCCAGGCTGCGACGACTGTCCGAGAGCATCAGGAAGGAGACCGCCGGCGGTAAGGGTAATCTGGTGATCGGCCAAGGTGACGCGACCGCCGGTAAGATATACGCCTGTTGGACGAATGCGAATTATTCGCCTGCGTGATGCGAGTCAATCAAGCCGGATAGTAGCGAAGTAGCCGTTCGCCATTAACTCTACTCGATAAATTCGCTACGAAACAGGATCATGTCAAAGTAATCCGAACCGAGTTAAACGTAATTTCAGGGTTGTATATGGCGAATCAATTGCTCGAGTTTCCTCGGCAAAATTTCACCTTCTTTCGATTCCCCTCCACCGAGGGGCGTTAATCCAAGGCATTATCAATTATATTTGTTAGACGATTTGCTTAATTATTCGGATTACCGGAATCACTTGTATAATGCAGTTAGATGAGTAGGTGAAAAAATATATCATACGCCTGCTATAAATTATATTATACGTATATTTTCCAGTCTCGCTGCTCTTTTGATGCCGATGAAATTGTAGAATTCTTTAAATTCCTATATCTAATCAGATCTGAACTTTATTTTCTTTTTAATCAAATAAAGAATCGCTTTTACGTGGAGAAAAATCTCCCAGGGTGAAGATCTAAATATATATCAGTATGAGCAAACATGCCATCGGTACTCGTTAAATAAATTTCTTATTTTTTAGATATTCTTTTCTCTTAACACACGTCAGATTGTTGATCCGAATCGATTGTTCCTTCCCTGCTATTCTTCTTTTGTTCACAGTGTGCCCCTCATTGTCAAATAAGAAGACGATCAAGCTGCCTCAGGGCGACGGTACCGTGCGCGTAACGAAAGCGCGAGTGATTAACGCTTCGGCGGAGGCGCCGGCGCAAGAAATCCTAACGAAACCCCAGAACGGTAAGGACTTCGCAACAACAATGTCTTTTTCACTCGTGAGTTCTCGCTCGAATCAACCAACTATTTAGCTCCCGGCCGGCTCGGGGCGCTCTCCCGATTGAACCTCGAATAAAGTCCGCTCACGGCGGTAATGTGTTTTCTTATTCCAAGTGCCCACGCGATTCGAAAGCCCCCGCTAAAGCAAACAGCGTTCTCCGGCTAGGAATCTAAAAACACGGGTCGCCCCGATTCTCAGGACCGATCTCGGGGAACGAACGCCTACTCCCGTGTAATTTCGCGCAATACACGGTCGCGTCATACGCGAGTGTAGTCGGTATGCGAAGTTCTTGGGTGACGCGCGCGCGCTCTCCTTTTAATATAACTCGAATCTTCATCGTCTCCTCTCCGAGCAGCATATTATTCGTGCCAGCGTCGCGGCAATTTACGCTTAACGAAGTTCTCCGGCGCATCAGTAGCCGTTTAATTGAAAGCGACACGCCAAATCAATCCGCCAAACAATCTGTTTTAATTTACTTCCCGTGCCTTCTTAGCGCGATTTAACACGGCGATCTATTAATTAAGAGCAAGTTCTACGTATTTTCCGACGCACCTGCATTATCGAAAAAAAAAAAAAGAAAAAACCACACTCCACCGTCGTCGATCCTAATAATTAGCAATACTCGCATTTGTGAAATACCGATCAATAGTGAAAAACGCAGCGACGCAGTACGCCTGCAATTTGACGAACGGCAGTCTGGGGAGTTTGCCTCCCACAGCGGTGGTAAAAAGCTGTTACTACCTTAACCAGCAACAGCAACAGCAGCAGCAGCAGCAGCAGCAGCAGCAGCAGCATCAACTTCAGATGTCGAGGTCTCAACGGTCCATACAATCGGATCAGATGGCAATGGTGAGCGTAACGCTGTTTTCCGCTTTAATTCTCTCCCTCTTCGGCCGGTGTGCCGGCGGCCAGTTTGCCGGCCGCTTTCCTTGTCGCGGCTCGCATTATGTAGGAAGGTAAACGGTGGATTCTGTTATTGCAGGCTACGTGTCGCGTGGGATTTGCGTTTAGGTACTGTAACCACTCATCCGTGCAATTCTCTCTCTCTCTCTCTCTCTCGCTCTCTCTCTCTCTCTCTCTCACACATGCACACACACAAACACGCACACCTGAGCGTAGTGTACGCGCACGCATCCCCGATTTATGCACGTCGTTTCACAGCGCGCTTGACCACTCGCTCATGAGGAAACTATTAGTCCGCACCTCCTGCGCCAGCAGTGCTCTTCCCGACGGGTGACTCGCGGTTTTTAACGCGCGCGGATGAATGGACGAGCGTTCGCGGTTTTACCGTCGTCGAGTTAATCCTCAATGACGACGCGAAAACACCGCAGCCCCTTCCGCGGAGGTCGCGGATATCACCGCGGGATCAAACGCAAATATCTCGGCTTTTGCACGCATAGATGGGGGGGGGAGGGTGCCAGTTTGTTATACTTATGGCTTACTCTCGGACTGACTCTTAGTAGACGCGTTTCATATCCGACGCCAACACTTTTCCTCGCGCGCGCGCGCGAGCGAGTGCGTTTACGTAAAAAATCACATTCGCATTATCCAAGCGGGTAGATACGCGACATCGACGGATACATGCCGTTGAAATTGATAAAAATTTCGCTCGATTGATTCCTCATGATTCCTGGACGTGCCCTATATTGAGGAAAAGGAAAGATTGATCCCTGAATCACGGTGACTCTTTCGACGCGAGCTATGCCTCTTTGTTGTTTCCTGATGAAAAATAGTTGCAGCGATGTATAAAGACTTATCGTCAGCCTGTACCGTAATGGCACTTATATTGTTGGAGCTGAATTTTCTCCAAGTATAATTGCTTCACCGTGCAATTGTAGCTGCAGGTAGCGGACACTTACCCGCAAGTCGTGCGAACTTTTCGATGCATCGAGAGAAAAGATATTCTTCCTGTCAGAAAAAACGTGTATCGATATGATTGAACATCACTCGCCACATAAATCATTCTTACTTTATGGACCTCTTTTCTCTCGGCGCGCGAATATTTTCATCACGACGAAATATCGTATTCCGCTTCACAATTGTTATCCCGCTTAATCGTTCTTAATTGCGCACGCGTCCCTGGAAATATCGAAGCACGCAAGTAGTCTAAGTAAGCGGCCGTGGCGCGTTTTTGGTGGAAAGATGAGCGGCCGTCCGATGAATGTCACTGATGACGCTCGCGAGCGTGAGCTCAAATTTCCCGCTGAATTGGCGTTATTATTTCGCATAGAACCTGTATTATCCGCTCGTCCGCTTTTACATTCTTGTCACAAGTAAACCCGCTAATTGCCATACGTCAAGATCGTAATCGACGCACACACCTTTCTCTCCTTCTCTCTCTCTCTCTCTCTCTCTCTCTCTCTCTCTCTCTCTCTCTTTCTCTCTCCCCATATACGTGTCACGATCATGATTTCACCGCGCTTTATGTCTCCGCTGGATGTTTCAATTTCAGCACGGCGCCGGAGGCAGATCGAACCAATTAGCGGCACCGGCACCTCGCGTCAAGCTCCGAAAAGCTTGCCAGCAGCAACAGCATTACCATCATCATCAGCAGCAATTTCTCGTTCAGCCGTCGCGGCCGTTCGTTTCGACGTCCGCGAATTGCCGCGGCGACGAGCGGCCTAGGACGATGCCGAGCAAGCCGGCCAAGGTCGGTGACGAGCCCAAGAGCCTCAAGCAGCGGTCAGCAATGGCCGCGTCGGGCTCGACGTTGGCCAACAACGTCACACGACACTTCGTCAGGACCATGAACGGCGGCTACCTCAGCAACCCGGAGTCGCCGTACGTCAGCCAACACCAGCAGGCTATCCGCGATTACCTGAACCAGACGATGCCGTTGCCGGCGCAGCGGCACTCACGGCTGCGGGACCGAGCCGGCTGCCAAGTCACCGATAGCAGAGGCAACCTCGACCGCACCTCGTGCCCCGTCACGGACGTCGTTGACACGATCGGCGGTCGTCGTGCCGTACGCGGTCAAGGAGGCAGCGGGTTGCAGCAGAGGCGCAGCGTCGACGTCGGCTGCGTCGTCCAGCGGAAGTCGTCCACGTGCGACAAGTCGAGGTTCCTGGACAGCCGTAGCCAGAGGCACGGCGTCATAGCCGCGTCGGTCTACAAGGATCTCTGCAATGGGACCATAGGATGGTGAGCGCGCGCGCGCGCGCGCAGCAAGGACGTTTCTCGGAGCGAAGAGCGATGATTTTCCAATCGGGGAATGATAATCGCCGTACCGTAGCCGCTTCGTGTTTGCGAACGACATCCTGCGACTCGAGAGAGCTCCGCGCACGGGATTTCTGTTTTCTCTTCTCCCTTTCGTCAACGAGCAGCGTCTCACCGGATAGATCGCCGGCTCTTTCTCTCTTTCTCTCTTTCATTCTCTGTCGAATCACGTCAAGACACGAGAGAAAGATTACCGTAACATTTTTCCGCGCTCTCATCACGACGAGAAATCTTTCAGTGTGTGATCGGAATGTATGTGTGTGTGTGTGTGTGTGTGTGTGTGTGTGTGCGCGCGCCTTCGGCGGATGAATTTTGATAGTAAATATTTGCTCTCCACGATCTCTGCGTCGCGACATGAGGGGTAATTTTTGTAGCGAAAGTTCGGACGGCAGCTCGACGAGAACGCGGAATCGGAGAAATCATCGTCAGATAAGAAGCATCCCTAGTGCTCGATCCCCTTCGGAGCTCGCCCTCCCGGAAGCAAGCCGTTTATCTTCGTGCGCGCTAACGGCACATGGTTCCTAAGTAAATGAGCAAATTTTGCACGGTACGAGTAATTAACTCTATCAATAGTGTCGCACGCTCGACACTTTCCACTCGCGCTTCTCACGGGGATAATTGACGATCTTCGCGGCTCCGGCCGGTGAGCGATCGAAATTTGCTGCTATAAATACGACCTCTCCCTTTCTCTCTTCCCCTCACTCTTCGTTTCCGAGACCACGACTACCTCAATTTTTTATACAACATAAAGTATCGACACACGAACTCGGCGAGAGACGAACGTTCGGACACAGATAATCTCGCGCCCTCTCCCTCTCCTTCTCTCTCTCTCTCTCTCTCTCTCTCTTTCTCTCTCTCTCTCTTCACTCTTTCTCTGTATCTATCTCGCCGCCGTAAGTCCCGGACGACGGAAACGCGAAAGTAACCGGGACCTTCTTCACCGCGCAAACGGACGGCATCCATTTCCGATGAGCGCGCGGAAAATACGAGAGACGGAAGATATACGGAAATCGCGCGGAGCCTCCCGGCGGAGATCGGCCCGTGGGAATCCGGAGAATACGTAGGAGCTTAGGACGTAAGGCAAACTTAGAGCTGCACCGATGATGTACCTCGATATCGACACGTGGCGGTGCCACGGTTGGCCGCGCGACACACACATTTTTCTACGACATTTTATTCATATCGTAAACCGCAAAAACGCCAGACGCGTAGGCGAACGCGACGTGCGCACGTGTATTGTTTACACAAACTGATGTGTATCCGGCTGTCGCCTCGATGTACAAATCTTCATTGTATCGTATACATCATTGTCGTGATGTCTCTTTTGTGTGCGGCGACGCTGCAACGCGGCGCGCTCGACTCGTGCTGTGTACCACACGCGGCGTGTACGAATAAAGTTTTTCTTTCTTTGATAACGCTAAGAGCAACGGAGAGACACCGGCGGGTGATTGCGCAATTTCCTTTCGCGCAAAGTCGCGCAGCCCGACCACGAGCGGGCGCTTTGCCGATTAATTCCCCGATCAATTTTAATGCATTTAATTACAGGCGTATTTGAAATGCACATACAGAGAGCGATCGCGTTAAACATTTCGGGCCCCCCTCTCTCTCTCTCTCTCTCTGCCATTGGACGTTTAATTGTTAATGCGGAATCAGTTTTAATCCAGAATTCAGTTGGGCAGGTTCGGTGTGTGTTTTCGACCGTGGGATATGAGCGCATAAATATTGCTGTCAATTGCGCTCGGATTTGCTCGCATCGGGTCGCCGCGCGACACGGAAAATCGCTATTCGCGCGCAATGCAGCCGGCAGAACGGACAAATCTCTCTCGGCTTTTTATCTCTTTCCGCCCGATTCTTTCGCTAAGCGATTGTATGATTGCCTTTAAGCCGCCTGCTCTGCACCTCGCGAGGATAATCGCCAGTAACCGAAAACGGAAAAACACATCTCCGATATCTTTTTTCTCGCAATGCACGAAGTTCTTCTCTTCTCAGTTTTATTTTACAATATTTTTACATTATTTTTATTTTACAATTCGCTGTCATTTTGTGATCTCCGCCGTGTCGGGAATGTCGTTTTCCCGCTTTCGCTTTAACTTGTCTTATTCCGCACCTGCTCTGTTTCTCTCATCTTTTTATTGTTTTTTATATATATTTTTACTTTCTTTCAGATTTTTCCTCTTTTATTATCTACTTTGATATTTTGCCGTAATTATCCAGCTTCTCTCGTACGAGTGTGTGCTAAAATTTTTTGCCTCGAGGGGATACGCCCCAAGACTGGGTAATAAACACTCTTTTCCCTCCGTTTCTTTCTCTTTCTTTCTCAGCACTCTTCTCTCTCCGTCGTGGCTTCTCGAGGAGGATTGCCCCATTGGCCTCGGCCGTCGTCGTAAGAATCGAATAAGCTCCTTTTCATTTTTCGTCCGACGTGATAACGCGCTCCATTCGGTGTTTCCTCGATAAGCTTGGGGGAGCCCCGACCCGGCTCCCGGTCCACCTCCGGCTCTACGTTCCTCGTTACCGTAAAGGCATACCGCGTTCTTTCGTAGGACAAGACAACATCGACTATCCTCTATAGTCTTCCCGCCCGACGTCATCCACCTCCGCCGTAAAGAGACACGCCGTGTGTATGCGAAGGCGTGCTGCGCATATTACACCGTCGCGGTCAAAGCGGCCGCGAATGTCGCCGACGGATTACATACCTCTCGAGGAAGGTCGTCCTGCGACCCGAGAAGGATTAACGGGAATTTGCCGCTTGGAAAGTCGCGTACACTCGTGAGCCTCGAATCGGGAATCCGTTCGCGCGCGCGTTGTCGAATCTTCCCCCCCGTTCCTCCTCGACCTTCCAACGTAATTATCCGGTGAACTAATAAGACAGTAATAAAGTCAACTTGACTTTGATTAATAATGAAAATTATGAAAATTAATCGAGGCAACGGCAGCAGCGACGGTAATCCGTGCAGTCTCAACGAATCGTGCGAAAGTTTTATCCTACGGCGCGAGAGTCGAGAAGCGCTACGCGTTACGCAGCGATGTTTTATTAGCGTGAAAGTAATTGGCGTGTAACATCATTATTATTGGCTCGACGAGGAGACGCAGCGCGTTCAGTAACAGACGTTGTTACACCGTTCCGAAGAGCTGCGCGATATGCGAGTAGGAACACTCGATGGCGGATGGCAAATTTGATCGACTCGCTCGCAACGATTTCCGCGGACTTTCCCGCGCTGTATATTGCGCAATTTCACCCTTTTTGCCTTCCCTCTCGTCCCCTCCCTCTTTACACGATTCCACGACGGGACGAGATATCTGCTTGCGTACACACGCACGCTCGTGGGCAGGCAAATTTTTGCCATCGCGATCGAGGCTGGCGTTTGAGGCACACACTCTTTCCGAAGTCGACGCCGAGTGACCGCCGAGGCAACGATTTCATTGTTCCGCACACTTTTATGGGCAAACTTTTATGGGATGACTGGGGTCGATGGCTCTTTCGAACTTCTCAGCGCCAGTCAGCATCGTAGAAGAAAATGAAGAGGAAGAAGACGAAGGAGAAAAAGGGCGACAAGAAGGCGCAGAGTTTCAAGATTCCAAGATTTCTAATAAAACCGCGTTCAGACCACGTGAGGGATCCTCTCTCCTCCTGCGAGGTGCTCGCAGGAATTTCGTAAAAGCTACTGTAACGTGCCACTGAACAACGTAACGAGATTATTTCTTTTCAGATTACTCATCAGATTCACATGGTCGAGCAGTTGGAAAGAGCGAGCTGGCGGCTGCCTCTCCGTGCGATTCGCACTCGAACTCGAGAAATAGACTTACCGAGTGCTGAAGCGACGTGCACTCGCCCTCAGAGGGAAAGAGGGAGGGAGGGTGTGAGACGGCGGAGGGAAGGTAAGATTCGACGGTATTTCCGCGGATCCATTTGCTACAAGCCTCATACATAAAGGACTACTTACACGAAACTGCGAGAATCCTGCGGCCGGACCCGCGCTGGCGCGCACGAACTTTATCGGACGCGGTCTGACCGGATTGCGTCTTTCCCGGCCGGTGGATTTTCCTCCCGTCGTTGTTGTCGTCGTCCGCCTCCACGTCCCGTAACGACGCCGTCGTTGGATTCAGCGAGTCGCAAATCGAGGTCGACAGCGGCGCGTGAAAGCGCCGGGAACGCGCAGAAAAGACCCACACGCCGCGGTCCACCTTTCCTGTCGCCCATGCATGCCGAGGACGGAGGACCGTGGGCGGAATCCTGAGCTAAATATTCATGCGATAAACGACGCGCATCCGTGTTTCGGCCTCTCCCCGGCGACCCCGTCGCCTTCTGTCCTAGGGGCAGGTCCTGTTTCTCGGCGAAACTGTTGCGGGTTCTCGGATCTGCGGGCTGCGGGCGCGAAAATTGCTCGACCTCCTTTCGCTCTCTCGCCCTCAACCCTGCCTTGCCGTCGCGTTTTTCCACGCGGCGTGAATCTAAGGTGAGGCCCAGCCGATCAGCCACCGAGCAACTGCTCCGTGAAAATGATTAATGAGCCGGTAATATTTGCGTTGAATGGTCAAAAGGTGCGCGCAAAGGTCGATTTCGCGGGGCAGCTTGATCGTTCCTCTGATTGTGATATATTTTTTTCGAATTTACGGGGAGGGACTTTAGTTTATTTGTATTTCTGGCGAGTGCATAACCGTTTGAGGCGTCAGTCGGCACGCTTGTAATTGTAATGATGTTCCAATGTTTACTGTGACTTTAAATTCTACTCGCAACTCGTTGCGAATCGATAATACATTAAATTTAGAGTGAAAACACACGCCTATAAATGTGAACCCGTATTAGCTGATTTATCGCGGAAAACGCGTGCACTTGTTGCAAATTGGGACATTCACCTTGATGAGCGCGTGATCCAGTCGACTATTTTAATTTGATTGCACGCTGATAAAAAACAAATTTCATCGATCGACTAAATTATTCATAATTGCGTACGTGACGGTTGATTAATTTTCTTTATTAATCCGCCGCCGGTCGCTTTGGCCAGCTAACATTTTTTCGTCCCAAATGTAAAGCCCAACTCCGCTCGACTCGGCGATTGCGCGTCGCGCTGAAAAACCGAGAGCCGAATCTCCGTCTAGCAAAGTTATTAGCGATAGAATAATCTCGACATCGGTCACTTGGCGCGGCTTAAATTACTGCAGCGACCGGATTTGCCCGTAGTCGAATTTCCGGGTTCTTCGTTCGTCGCCTCGACATCGCCCGTTAATCCGTCGGGCAATGAAGCCACGTACCTCGTCTACGAGTGGACATGAAGGGGGCAGGTTCTCAAGAATAAATTCTTCGAACACTGTCCGAACTGTTTTCGCGCTGACGTGCTTCTCACGGGGTGCGTAATCGGAGAAGAGTAATCGGTCCAGAGAGTCGGCGCACTTGATCCAATGATGGCGAGCGCATCTTTCTTTCTCCTTTTATTATTGAAAATAACACGTAGAGATATGATTTACATGCGTCTGTGAATGCCGCAGCACAACGGTCGCGAACAATGTCCCACGCATCCTCTCGACGTGTGTATCGATCTCTTCTCGGCGACGAAGAACGGTCAAAGTCCGCGCGCCTCGCGCGTCGGAGGCCTCTCGTTAATGCTCCACGACTTAGGGAAAATTTCAGGTCCAAGTTAATTGAAAGATGTCGCTTCTCGTGTCCGTCACGCCCGCGTCACGAGGAGAACGCGCTCGTTTGCGACGAACAAATATTTACAACGCGCGCGCGTACATACACACACACACGCAATCGTGGTCACACGCGAGGCATTGTCGGGCGGGTTTCTTTAATAACCCATGTACGTGGAAAATTGATCTACCTGGGGTTGAAGCGGTTAGCTGTCTCGCTATTAACGATAACGACCGCCAGACCGTCGCCGGCGTGTCGATCCTCCTTATTTCGCGGCCCTTCGACTTGTCCCTTCGCGAGATTCCCTTCCTTCCAGTCGCTGCTTCTCCGAGCCGCGATTAATTAGTTAGTGTGTCGCCATTTATATATATATATATATGTGTGTGTGTATATGTATTAGCGGCCCAATAAATACACGTATATATACGCAGGGCTGTCCCTTCGATTCTCGCTAGCTGAAGCGTTACAACGGTCGGCCATTGCGCCGTCTAACAATAAGAAGCTCTCCCTTGATATCGAGTCGATACGAATGTCGTCCTCTCGCGAACTATTCGCGCAAGATAGAAAATATAATTCGCAATTAGCGATACACACACGTCGGCAAGAGAAAGAGAGGGAGAGGGAGAGGGAGGGAGGGAGGGAGAGAGAGAGAGAGAGAGAGAGAGAGAGAGAGAGAGAGAGAGAGAGGGGAAAAAGAAAGAGAGAAAAAGACAGAGCGGTACAACGCAGCGATGTGCGATCGACGCGTACTCGTCGATCTGAATATTAACGGACGCCATTGTTGAAAAAAGTAGGAAAAGGGGGGAAAACTATCGCACAATGCTGGAGCGGACAGCTTGTTAAAAGGAGAATTTCCGCTTCTCTCGACGCTCCTTTCGGCGGTATTTCACGATATTTCCTTCTCGCGTTCGCGTTATCACTGCGACAGATGTCAGTGTCAATACAGGCTGATCGCCGAGTCGTCATTCGCAAATATCGACAAGATGTGTACGTAGTAGTAGTACACACATACACATACACCCACGTCTGATTTAAATGTGACCCGAGCACGATCGCGGGGAGATCCCAAAAAAAGATGCAGTATTGGCTCGACGAAGAGATGCACATCTTCCTCCAACTAGGAGAATATTCGCGTAAAAATTGCGTCTGACTAGTGTCAACTGGTTTTTCTTATTTGCGATCCGAACCCTCCAAGTTAGCCGGACGCGAGCTTTATGCAATAATTTTTCCAGATGGGACAGGACACGCGTCTATTGAGAATTTCGGAAGGATCGTCCGTAATTTTTTGCTTGAACTTCGCGGACGCGAATCCGTCCGGTCCAATGGGAAAATTGGGCGAGAGGGATGAGTCCCGAAACTCTCGACCAATTATTTTTCTCAGTTGCAGCGCTCCAGGTTGTCGCGATTGATTGAGAAACGTGGCTGACGCGGTAATCGGCCATGACAGCAGCCGAAGTGACAGACGACATGTGTGACATCCGGCGATACGAGGCGTGTAACGGAGGACTTGAGAGAGAGGCGCGTTTTAATATCTTCATCGCACTCTTATCTATCAGACAAGAGTATAACCAAAACTGGTACTTACACCGTCAATTCGGCTCCTGTCGTAATCAATTACCGCATGAACGAGTCAACGTTGCCTCTCGACAATTGAGGCAATCCGGAGCGCCGCGACTTCGTCGGGAAACATGTGTGTCAACCGAGCCCGGGGCTGAGTGTTGTACATGCGCGCACACACACACACACACACACACACTCCACTCGGTACTCTCGGTAGGAAAACGCACGTCGGTGGTTCAATCGCGTGGAATTTTCCCGCTCGTCGCGGTCGAAAGCGAGAGGGATCTCTGAATGCTCGGCGTCAAGTCGAAATTACTCCCTCGCACAGGAATCGACGATCCTCGACGATCGCCTGCGTCGGATCTGCGGTGTGAAATGTGAGAACAAGCAATCCCGGAAAGATCACTCCATTCAGAACGAGGAGAAGGAAAAAGAAAAAAAGAAGAAGAGAGAGTCCCCGGTGGGGGAAAATTCGGCGGTTGCGTCGCTCGCGTTCCTCGTTTTAGTCCCGTCGGAAATCTTATAGCTGGCAACTCTTCTTCCCCGGAACGCACTTCCTCTCCCTCCCGCCGCTTCCTGTCACTCTGATCAATTGAACCTCAATAAGCATCGATACGCGGTGAGCGCGTGCTGTTTGTTTTGCGATTCTCCTGTTGGTCCGTTTATTTTGTCTTTCACGTTCGTTGCGCGGTCGGCGCTCGACTGGCTTCCGGTCCATTGTTCGCGGCCGTCACAACCGCGTCCGAATACGTGGAAATGTCTCGGCTGACAGAGCGCCCGTAAAAGTGCGAGCACTTTCACAAATTGAATCCGCCCTCCTCCTCCCCCCTCCGAACACAAGCCGGCTTTGGACGCGGCTTTAAGCACGCCGTGCCGCGGTTCCGCATTGGCCGCATTCGGTACTTTCAAGCTGGCGGACTTTGGGCTCGCAGGCAAGGAGTTTATCGGCTACTTTTATATTTATACACGGCCCCTACAAACCGTCGAGAAATACTCCCTATATGAACCCGGCGATATGAAAAAACCGAGGGCACCCTCCAGCAGGATTGTTCACGGACCGACGGACGAAAGGGGAACACAACTGTAAAGCTCGTATCGGACTGGAGGTTATCGGGGATTGAAGATTGCGGAACGGAGATTGGAATCGACCGATTTCAACGTTGACTCCCGATCTTGCTGAATTCGCGGTTTCTCAGTCTTCGGAGCTCGCGGTAAAACCCATCAGCCATTTTACAGGCCTCAGAGTGTCCTTTCTTTAAACACGGGATTAACATGTTAACCAAGGGTCACCTCTTCAGTGGCCGATGAAGCGATCGGGATACATCCGAGAATGGGCGATGATGGAGACGATCCTTAACGAAAACCCCCGATTACGTCTACCGCCTTCGTGCCTGTTTCCAGCGACGTCGACGAGACTTTAATCCAGGTAGAAACTCTATTCAGACCAAGACTTAAACTCAGAGATTCTGCTCTCATCGATATCCGCGGAAACAAGTGCTGGTCTGATGCGAACTTAACGCTTGACTTACGTCGAGCTACGTCGAGCGAGCCCGAGGTCCCTTCCTACCTCGGAAGGGTGTGTACCTGATGTGAGTTGAATCCGACTAGTATCGTAAAAATGTGATCCTTATCGTGTGACAAAGTCGTAGCCCCGAAAAGTAGCCCCGGCTATACAGACATCTGGCGAGATTACAATCGTCGTACAACGTAGAAACACACGTCGAGGAGATTCCCGAGTTCCAAGTTCAAGGACATCGTCGCTGCTCGTCCGTGGTGCACAGGGTGCTCGGACGCGGCTGGCTGCTCTCGAGGGCGTTGTTCTTCTCGTACTCCGGCGCGACCGGCGGCTCCCGGTCGCCGCCTCCGCCGCTGCCGCCGCCTCCGCCGCCGCCGTTGGCGACGTTCGCCGGCGGGTCGGCGGCGACCGCCGCCGCCGCAGCCGCCGCCGCCGCCGCCGCCGCTGTCGCCTGCGGCACGTCGCGGATGCTTCTCAGCATGTAGCAGCGGCGGTGCGGACTGTGCCGGCTGTAGAAGCTGTCGTAGCCGCTGCTGGACGTGGCGGTGCGGCGCAACGCCAGCACGGCGTGATGGCCGCCCATGGGGATGCCGCAGCCGCAGCCGGGCAGCATGTTCCGTTGGCGCAACAGGCCGCGACGTGCGCCCGGCACGCTACAACCGCCGCAAGCGTCATCGATCATCACGCTCTGCAACATTGTCAAGGAGAGCGATCGACCTTTTAGCTCTTAGCGGTTCCCTAAGCTAGAGAGAGCCTCATAGGGAGAGAGTGGCAGACTGATCACGTGAGCAGGTCTCTGCTGATTCGATGGAGGCATAGAGTCTTCTGGACCAATCGAAATATCGATATCGAGCAAGACGACAGGTTGGTTGAGTTTTGAAAGCAGTCCAGCAGGCATTTTATATGCCTATGCACAAGGCAGAAAATTATGTAAATAATATATATTACGATTCTTCCATTCTATGTAAATCGAAGCGACAGATATTCTTTCGCAATTAATACTTATTACTTACGAATATCTGATTCTGATTGCTGGTATTAATTCGTAGGAGAATATCTTCGTGTGCGACTCTCGTCGTAACCTCCTCTAATGATTGACGGATGTACGTCAAACTGCTTTAAAAACTCACTGTATGTAAAGACGACCTTCTGTCGTGCTTGCTATATCGATATTCTAATTGGTCAGGAAGGCTTTGTGCCTCCATCGAATCAACCGAGACCTGGTCACGTGATCAGTTTGCCACTCTCGTCCTATGAGGCTCTCTAGTTCTCGCATGCGCGCGAGGGGGCTGAACGGCTGGCGGCAATTTCATCGGCGGCTCGAACGAGCCCGCCGAGCCGGCGGTAAGATTGCGGAGAGCGATCCCCCTCGTGCTTTTGTGTTACTTGAAAAAATGCGCGCAAGTGCCGCTGAGGTTTTGTGCACATTGTGGATGTAAATTTAGAGATTAACTCGATAACGGCATGCTTGCTTCGGAAACGCGAAGGAAGGATTGTCAAGTCTCCGCCATCGATCACCCCACGGCGAGCTCACGACGAGTCTCTGATAGCACGAAATCACGTCCGACGCTTGATCGTCTAATTCGTTCACGAAGTTTCGTCTCGAAGTGGTGTTATTGCGAAGGGATATACCGCGTCCGCTGCTGAAATTGCGGGAGAATTCCTTCGTTAAGTTTGATCGTCCAATTGACTTTTCGTCGATTTCAGGTCGCGTATATTCATTTGCTCGCACGCGTGTTTTCACGTCAAGATTACCCACCGTATGGGACTTTACGGCCAGAATTTTGCTCTATATGCAATTTTCGATATCAGCGCGTTATTGCCCAGCCGATATTGGGTTCGGTATTAGATTATACTCGAATGATAATTCGGGTCCGATATTAGCATTCTTGAATTCGAGCATTCGCCAATCGCGAGAGCGAATTTTTCGCGTAATGGTCGGCATTAATCTTGAAATCGCGCGCGTACCGCACGGGAAAGATAATAGATTACATACGGAATTACCTGCGCCGAATTTCTCGAACGAGAGAGAGACGCGCGAGGTTTCCTATCTTCTACGCCGAAAACTTCCGATGCTCTGGAATATATATATACTCCAACAACACCTCTGCACAGCGCGTATCACGTGTCGTGATGACCACACGGGCTCGCCACTCGTCACAGCAAGAGCACGCGAGCTCGCATACGCGCGAGGTGCGAACCGCCGAGAAGAATGGCATTTGTTTCACGTTCCCGCGTTGACTTTCCGCCGAGATACGGACGTTCGAAGCTTTCGAGAGCGCCGGTCATCGCGTATTCATTTGCTATTATTATTAAAGTATAATTTAAACAGCGCTCCGAAACAAAATCTCCGAAGCGCAGGTACGTATAGTTCGCCGGGGCTTCTCGCGATTTTCCACCTGACTGTATCGCGCGTGAGCCTGAAAATTGCACACGTAACTCCGACTGCAACGCTAAAGCGTATGATGACGGTCCGGTGTGCCGCGCGGTGTCTGTGAAGTTAGCACGACGTTTTAAAAATTATTAAAAAACAACGTTAGATCCAGTAACATTTTTCATAGTTCTACAGTTCCTGATAAAAATAAAAGAAAGTATCCCGTATTCTTAAGGGGACTGGAGGACTCAGATTACTGAAAAATCGTGCTTGTATTCGATAATATTTTGTGGCGAACTGAATAAATGTGAACAAGAATGAAAATTTTTGATATATTTATATAACATATGAAGAGTAGAAAAATTTTGTTCATTAACAAATATTCATATAAATATCCACTTAAATTTTAAACGCGTTTTTCTCGAAATTTTATTGTTCCACCTTTTGCAGTGGTTTCTCCGAGACTGAGCTTCATTTTCGATTTGAAATTTTAAAGCAATAATATTTGTTCGTCTGGCTATCAGGTGAACCATGGACAACTCCGTCAAAATATTTCATTTCGAGATATTATTTTTTTTATTGTAAAAGGACAGAAAAATTTGAATTTTTTCCTAATAATAGCTGCCATTTTGTTAATTTTGTTCAATTTTTTTTTATAGCGTTTCACCGGATAATGATAAGCCTCCTTAAGATTTCTAGCTAAAATTCGCTCTGATCGGACCACCGAGGGCCGAGATATTACTGCAAAAACGACAACTTGAAAAAAAAGAGGAGAATATATTTCAGCTATATATATATCGTATATTTATATGAGTATTTGTTAATAAACAAAATTTTTCTACTCTTCACATGTTGCATAAATATACCTAAACTTTTCATTTTCGCACATTTATTCAGTTCATCGGAGAATATTGGCAAAAACTTTTGGCACGATTTTTTGGCAGCAATCTGACCCTCCAGTCCCCTTAATACCAAAGAACCGAAATTGAAAAAATGTGCTAACTTCACAAAAAGAGCAAAGAGCGACGCGCAATCATCATTGTAATCGGACCGTGGTTTGCATCGAACGATCCGCCGCTCGCCGATATTTCCATATCGCAGAAGAGTCGCAGCGACGTGCAACACATTGCATTTTGAAACTCGGACTGTCCCTGTGCTAATCGCGGCCGTCAATTAGTCTTATAATATATTGAAAAGTCGACCGAGATAGATTTCTCGAGCTGGGGCATTAATCTGCGATTAAACGCGCGATTGCGATTTAGTCTCGAGTGGAAGAGAGACCGCATTGTGCGCAGAGTTTAATCTCCTGTTTTTTTTTTTTGTAATATGTAAGGGTAAATTGTAGTTCAATTTTTGTTTCATTCGCGTTCTCGTTGTGCGCTTCGACTGCGTGTGAGCGTGCGAAAACTTATCGCGGTTCGGTCGGTGATGTTCCGGCGTGGAAAGCAGCGGGAGAACGGTTTTGATAGTTACAACTCGTTAATCGAAATGAAAAAATTGTGCAACTTCCATGTGCTATTATTACGTCGGGCCGATTGATCGAACCAATCGAGGCATCGAATTCGACCTACGGCAGCGTGCAAACGGTAATGCAATATGAAATGCGTCGACCATATCGTATATATCAGCCGCGCCGAGCTGTTATAATCCTGTTATCTTAATCTGTTTACGCAAGTGGACATCATACACTGGTCCTGCATAATGCAATAACCGATCTCTCTCTCTCTCTCTCTCTCTTTCTCTCTCTCTCTCTCTCTCTCTCTCTCTCTCTCTCTCGCACATTACACGCGTTGTCCACCGTTCGAGGCAAGAAGCGAGTCTTCGTCGATTAGTTACGGGTTTAGATCGGAGATTTCTTCCAGGGGGGCGAATTCTAATTTGACTGAGCTCGTTGAGATTGAAAGTGGCTGCACCGGCTGGTCGACGACGAGGCCTCGCTTAAAAGCCCGCCCTGCGGGCATCGATCTCGCGATCACGCCGCGACATCCGCGTCGCGCGATTTTCGTCACGCACGCACTATAATTTCGCTCACGCTCGCGCGAAGAATTCATATTGGGGCGTCATTCGGCGTAATCGCTGGTCCCTCGTAATCTGCTCGTAAATTGCAGACAAGCGCGGAGAGCGGTTCACCTCCTCGGCCATATAAATTCCAATCGGCGAGAGAGAGAGAGAGAGAGAGAGAGAGAGAGAGAGAGAGAGAGAGAGAGAGAGAGAGAGAGAGAGAGAGAGAGAGAGAGAGAGAGAGAGAGAGAGAGACGCACCGGCCGACTGTTTTTGGGTAATCGATATCGGGAAGTGCACGTGGCAACCTGGGCTTGACCCGGGGTGGTGATTCCTCCCGTAAACACATGCGAACGCACGTGGATCTCGCAGGTGGATATGCACGAACACACTGGCGTGTTTTTTTTCCCGGACAAGTAAATGATCTCGCGAGGTGCGACTCGCTAACGGGACGCGTCGTGTTTCCGATGATGGCGGCAAAGCTCCGAGCTTTTTTTTCGCCCGTCGCAATTTATTTCGGAGCATGCCCGTGTCGCCGTCACGCATGTATGAATGTGCGATTAATAATCTGCGGAAAAACGCAGCCCGCGCGCATTAATGACGCCGACCGACTCGTCGGGCTCGGAATTGCGTTAGTTGCGCACGTTCGCGCCATTTATTTGGCGTCTCGCGTTTCGACATTTAACAGCGGCCGAAATGAATACCTGTGCGCGTTTCGCGCCCGACAATTCAGGCCGGCATGCCTCGGCCTCGGCCCTGACGCTCCGTCACGTGAAAATCGGCCCGGGAATATCTCCGCGATTTTCTGGCAGTTTTATTCGCGCAGAATTATTCATCCAATGGGGAACGTTTCTTATCCCGAGAGGACTGCAAGCGCGCGTATGCGCGTATGTGAGATCCTGCCCACTAACGCTAAGATTGCGAAGCGAATCCCGAGATCTCGGGTTATTCGCGTGAAATGGACGCGATATCTCTCTGTCTGTCTTTTTTCTGTCTGTCTGATTGCGAGTACACGGGAATTATGTGCCTCTTTATCGCGAGCCGTTATTTCCGCTTCTTACCTCGCGCAATTGTGAGTTTCAGCGCAGGCGTTCGTTCACTGGCCGGAACGGTGTAGGCATTTTTTTGCCCCTTTTGTTTTTCTGCTACGTCTCCTCGCTTGCTGGAGAAGTCGGCCAGCGCGCAGCAGCGGCGAGACTTTTTCAGCCGTGGCCGTAAATCGCAAATTTTCAACTTTAGCGGAGTTAAGGGACTTCATTCGGCACCGTGGTGTTTTCACGGTGCGCCGAGAAACTTTGTCCCCCAATCCTGCG